TCCTGATGACTGGTGAATTCAGTAAGTTCACAAAGACATGAATAGCAGGAGCATCTCTCCATGTGAGACAGCGGGAAGAGTGTTAGTTTCTGTGGATCACTGTTTCTGTTCCTTTGAAAGGTTTAGTAGCTAGTAGATCTTGCAGTCAAGACCTATGAGTGAAATCCTGTGCTTCTTTTAAGTTTATTGCCCTTGCCTTGTGACAGATTTTATTTTGCTCAAATTCCTCTGGGTTGTATTTGCTATGGATTGTGATTAAGAATTTAATTTAAGTGTCTTCTGCCATGATCCTTTTTTATTTTTAGTTTTTTCCTTTATCAGAGGGAAAATACTTTAGGTAAATTGTGTGTAGCATATCAGCAGGTTTTGAACTAACTGCGGTATTAAGGCTGCACTGTATGTCACATGTTGGATGTAAGAGCTGCAATATGTAGAGTAAATAGAAAAAAATTAATGGTTTTGATAGTTTTATTAATACTTTGATAGTTTTATACATCCTATCTGGAAGTCTCTGATGCAGAATTTTGCTTTAGCTTCAATAACTCTCTTCATGCATAGAGACCCATGAGAGGCTGAGACTGATTAGGAGAGTGAAATGGAGCATACAAAACTTTTTTTTTTTCTTTTGGTGTTGGGCCTTGACCCCAGCTAGCAACTAAGGACCTACCCAGTTGCTTGCTCATTCCCCATGTGTCATCCCTGCAGCGGGATGGGGAGAGAATCAGATCAAGATAAAGACAGCTTAATAAGTGAAGGAAAGAAGAGGGAGGGGAAAAAATTGAAAAAAACCTTCCAAATAACACAAAGGCAGTCACTCTCCACCTCCCACAAGCAGACCAGTGCCCAGACAGTCTCTGAGCAAGGGCTACTTTGGAAAGACTACCCACCGGTTTTATTGCTGAGCATGACATTATACAGTATGCAATATCCCTTTGATCAGTTGGGGTCAGCTGTCCCAGCTGTGTCCCCTCCCAACATCTTGTGCACCCCAGCCTGCTCACTGGGGTGGCTTGAGTGAGAAATAGAGAAGGCCTTGACACTGTTCAGCAACAGCTGAAACATCCCGATGTTATCAACGCTGTTTTGGTCACAGATCCAAAACACAGCACCACAGAGGCTGCTGTGAAGAAAATTAACTCCATCCCAGCCAGGCCCAGTACGTTCAGTAAGTCAGCAAATTCTGTTGCTTGTTTTCAGTAGTAGGGTATGAGTTACTTGCATTTGAAGATCATATAATAAATGAAGGAGCATTTTCAGGGTTTCTGTAAAAGCAGTCAGATTAATATTGAGCAATTGTAATCAGCCACTTTGATATGTGAAAGAGTTGAGGAGATGTAAGCTACATTTTGAGAAGAATGGCAGTGGGCAACTCCATAGGAAAAGAAGAAAAATAAGGAGCTGTATATTGATGAAAAAGACTGAGAGAGTCATGTGCTCAGATATATCTGATTTGACAGTGGAAATGTGGAAGCGTTGTAGGAAGAAGCAGCAGGCTCTTCTGTTATCTGGGTAGAGGAGGATGCAGAACAGGTTTGCAGACTTATATCAATTTTGCTGGAAGTTCAAGGCAGTGGAGCACATCAGCAGAAGAGGGTGCAAAAGGGTTTGTGTCCTCCTTTCTGAGGGCAAGGTTTGTAGGTAGAATCTGGGACATGAGCCAGGCAGTAGGAGAAAGCAGAGGCCAAGATTTGAGCTACTGGCAAAAACCATGGGAAAGGGGATGCGTTTGGGATGGCAGTCTCTCTTTCTTTTTTCTTTATGTTATGTTCATATTGTCATGGGGAGAATTCATTCATTCTTTCTTTAGTGCAGTTTATGCCAGGCAGCCAAGAAAACCATTTCTCAGGGAGCCTGGGTGATTAGCAGCTGGATTGTGACCCTGTATGGGAGAGGAGACCCACTTTCTAACTATGGAATTGTAAAAGGGCTGAAGAACAAAGGTGGAGGAAAAACCCTTCCAGAAGTAATGGAAGAATTTTGTCTGATGCTAGAGAACTTTTTAGATGTATTTTGAAAGGTGAATAGTTTCAGAATGGAGCAGTTACACACAGTATCTACCTCCAGCTCCTCTATAGCAACGTTGTCAACATTCACAGCTGCTATAGGCTACTTTTTAACTCATCCAAAACCATATAAAATTTTGGACAATGCTCTTAATAACAAGCTTTAACTTTTGGTCAGCGCTGAAGTGGTCAGGCAGCTGGACTTAGATGATCATTGTAGGTCCCTTCCAACTGAAATTAAATGTTCTATTCTATTCTATTCTATTCTATAGGATAACTTGGCTCTAGCAGATTCTAATAATCGTTCTAACTGCATTAAAGAAGGAAAAAGGCAGAAGGGAATTATTGCTGAACTCAGTATGGACTGTCAGTTGTTGTGGTGACCATACATTTTATTTATTAACACAAATATGGATTGACTTTTGCTAATTGGAAAATGTAGTGAAGCTCTTGTTATTCTTCTGTTGTAATTAAGAATGCAGAACTTGAGGGGTTCTCGTTGGCTCTCAAGTATAGGCAACCACAGATTTTATTAGCATTCAGAAAGCTCAGTTTCTTATATAAACACTATTGTTCTCACCATGATATAGTGTGTTGAAAACCTTGCCATCAGGTCTATTGTGAGTGTTAGGGCTGCTCTGTAGAAGAGGATGTGTTAATCAGTGCTACGAATGGGTTTGGATATCCTGTCTTAACACAGGACAAAATTTCTGTGAAGCAGAGCAAGGAATCTCTTGCAAAAGTTACTTTCTTCTTAATTCCTTTGGAGCCTCTACATACTCTTTGTTTATTTAAAACAACTCTAACTGTTATTTTTTTGCAGGATTTATAAACCTTACAATGGATGTAAAATTTCTTATCCTGGTTTGATTAGATATTGTTAAAAAAGTAATACTTTTGTTCACCTAAAAATAGATAACGACTGTCAAAGCTGAGTATTTGATGCATTGTTAATTGAAACAAATGACTTTTTTTTAAAGCATGTATTCTTTCTTATTGGACAGCATTTAACTATCATTTACAGTCCATAACAGAAGACTGTTAACTGATCCCCTTGGAGATGCAAATAATTCTATGGGGTTGAACTAGATACTGCTTTTTAATTCCCTTGTTTTGTTAGGAACAGATGGACTTTACTTCTTCAGATCATCATCCAAACAAAAAAAGAAAGGTAGCAAATCAGACAGTACTGCTTTACTGACTGTTTTGTTGGGGTGTGCATTTCTCTGTGTGTGCGTCTATTATATTTAAAAAGAGAATCAACCAAAAAAATACTTTAAGTAACATGCTGCAAAAGCAGAAATAGTAGTTACAGTTGAGTTGGAACCAATGCAGATCCTCTGCCCTGGGATTTCAGAATAACGGATAATGAAAGGAAGACATCTGTTTTGAAATATTCACACATGTAGTTAAAAATTCTGGTAATCCATGGTGTTCTTGAATTTGGCTGATTGGACTGCACACTTCTCTTGCTAAAGCAAGCGGAGTAGCTGCTGTGCAGGAGCAGGACAGCTCTGTTGCATGAGCGGTGTTTGTTATCATGGGAGGGGGGCTTCAAGCTAGTGAGGGATTTCAGAAATTGTATTGTCTTTCATGAAACTCACCGAGAACTGGAGAGATAATGGTGTGATGATAACAGGTGACAAATACTTCTACAAGTGACATCTGAAAATGAGGTCACTGCTGTCATTGTCAGCACCTGAAATGCCTGTATGAAGGAACCCTGGTCAGAGAAGAGCCTTTCACAATGCGGCTTTTCTGGTGTCCTCACTTCAGATCTCTCTATGTCACAGATCATGTGCTTGGTAGTAGTTAGCTTTTTTTTTATTATTATTTTGCAAAAAGTAACTTACCTTTCCTGTCAACAGAATCACATGTTTTTATTTTCCCTCATCACACTCCAAGTATGATGAAATTGATGTATATTGTACATCAGATACTTTCTTTCCAAAAAAAAAGCAAACTGCCTATTTTAGTTGAAGATCAGAAATCAAGTTATGAAATGGAGAGAAAAGAATTGCCTGTTTGCAGGGTGTCCTTGGTCCTCTCTCAGCTAAGCCTCCTAGTGACTTCTTTCCTTAGGCAAAGCTCCTGGTGTTCCAGATCGGGCACTTAAGTGGTCATGGTGAAAAAAGAGAAAAACACTCCAAATTGCAGGCAAATTTTTTCCGCTAAAGTTGAAAAGTTTTCTTCAGTATGCATCTAAGTTCATTATTTTGTGATGTGGGTGTGTGTCATGTCTTCATCTTGCATTTTCCCTTCCCTCCTCTGCTGGTTTGATATTAATTTATTGGATGGGGTAAAAGGCAAATGATGTTTCTGATTTTGCAGCATTGTATTTTGTTCAGCTGAAAAATATTTCTACTCTAGACATATTTGGTGTGCCTTTCTCCATTTCTCTGGTGCAGCTTTTGGCTTTTCTCCCCCCTACACCCACCCTGCTGCTTCTTTTTTCTCTAATTTCCATACATATTTTTTCATTAGTTATTCATCAAATTGAGTGCTTTAGGAAGAAGTAAAGGATGAGTCAGGTCTTCTTTGTGTGTGGCTTTGTTGTTTTGCAGATTTAACATGAAAATTATACGTATATCAGAAAATGCTTTTACTTTCAAGTACATTCATACAAATACAGTAAGCCTGATGCTAGTTGTTATATTGCTACCAAAGTGGCAAGCCAGTGATTTTAATAATCAGGCTTCCTAATGAAGCGTTTTCAGTCAGAACACTGTTCCCCTCTGGTCTCCTGACTCACTGTGACGATATAACTGGCTTTTGTTTGCACCCGCTGGCTCTCTCTTAACATTGTTGACGTAAGTATGATCCTTGTGCTGGACTATGTGGGGGTGAAGGTTTTTTCTGTCAAAATACAGAAATTAACAGCAGCCCATTTTCTGTTTTCATATATACAACTAGGCTTAAGTGTCTCTGAGAAGTATTCAAAACAACATGATAAGAAGTTGAGTGAATAATTATTCTTTCTTTTCCTCCCATCTCTAGAACAAAGAAAGAATTATGCACGAGACAGTGCCAGCAGCATATCCGAAACTTCGCAGTATCACGTAGAGGTGAGATGAGGAACGATATACCAATTATAGCTCTCAGTTACACGCGGTTATTTTTGCCTACTTGATATTTGAGGATACATATGCTTGAAGGCATATACATCTTCCAAAATGTCCCGCCAGCCCGAGGTCACTTCAGAATAGATTACATTGAAATGTCTCAAATTCTATAGCTTTGCCGTAATGAGCTGAAATTTTGATGTAGAAGAATGTAAGCAAAGTTGTGTGTAGTTTGGCAAACGGACAGGACTTCTCAATGGGATATCAATTCAATGTGTTATGCTGCCCTGTCTCTGAACCTGCCTTGTTGCAAGGATGAGGCAGAGCTGAAAAACCCTGTGTTGTTGGCGAGGCACGCTGGATGAGATTTAAAATGAGTACTTTGATCAGCGAAAATCAGCAGAGGTGACATAATATTCAGAAAGAGCTGAGCATTAACCCGTAAAAGCCTCAGTTAGACTACTATGTAGTAGTTAAACAAATATATTCTACCTGCGCAGATTCTTCCCCAGTGTGAAGTGCAAAGTATCTTACTTCCCGTCATAAGCCGCTTTGCAGAATTACTACATGCCGCTGTCATATTTTATCCAGGAGTAGATACATTTAAAATACTCAGCAAAGTAAGCCTGGGTACCCATATGTAGCCTGTTAAGCACTTCTGGATGCAGTGCCTTATTCTGTACTCTTACTTGGGCACAGACTTTCTCCCACTGCCATTAGACTGCTGTCATGGGTTTAGCCACGCCTTACAAATACCATAGATTGTCGGGTCCTTTTTGCTGCGTTTTAAATTAGCTGTAAATTGTGAGATAATATGCAGAAGAGGCTGATTTTCAAGTGCTTCTACGATATGATCAACTTGCAAATGAATACTTGTGTTGTTTCTACTTGACTGTATTTTTCTTTGGTGTCCTCATAACGGTTTTGGTACTGTACTGGCGTAAAAATTAGTACTTATATTTGAAGTGTAAGTAGAGAGTTTGTTTCTTGCTACTTTTTTAATACTTTGATTATATGCAGCTTGTATCTACTCTCTTGTCTGTCAGGACTAAATGCTGTTATCCTGTAATAGAAGAAAGCACACTTAATTTTTACTTTTTTTTAAAGTTCTTTAGAATAAAGTCGGTTCGGCTTCAATGGGTGTAACCAGATCTTCAATAAGAATGTGAAGCTAGATTTATACCTGGATAAAATGAAATAATTTTGTGGGTTGTCTTGCATGGTTGGCATGCTGAAGGAGAAATTGTCAAAACCATAATAGCAGGGAAACTAGTTGAGGTGATGTCAGTGAGGTAGTATTTAATTTCTAGACCGTCAATTGAATCTGGAGAATGTTCCAAGTTGTTGGTGAGCAAAAGTAGTTAGTATACTGCATTTCTAATGTGATCCACATAAAAGAAGCCACTAGCCTGTCCATAAGGTATCCCAGTCAGGTGCAAGCCCATCGTGGTTACCATCAGCGTGTTAGCTGGCAGCTCTGGAAGAGATGAGGACACTCCAGGTCAGGGTGGTGGTGGAGGTGGTTCTGGGAAGCTTTTGCTGACACTTCCTGGATTCAGCTTGCCAAGTGAGACAGATTTTTACTCCTCAAGAGAGCTAATTAAATACTCAGGATTTAATTCTAGCTATGATACCTGAAAGATGTCAGAATGTGGCTTCAAGTCTAACCGTTTACTGTAGTGGGGAAATGACAGAGGAAGACAAACGGTGAGTTACAAAAATCAGTTGGGTTAAAATGACATTATGGACTAAACAACCTCTCCTGTGGCTTATTGGTGGGATCTGTCATATACAAAGGTGCTTTTATTCATGAATAATTTGTATTGCTATTTCCTGGCAATTTGAATACTGACACTGCCTAGGAATTACAAATTACAAATTACAAATTTTTTAAATGTACGTCCCATTCACTAGCACTTGACCACCTTTGTTCTGGACCGAAAAGAGGCAATGATTACTGTAGATGATGGAATAAGGAAGCTGAAACTGCTGGATGCCAAAGGCAAAGTGTGGACTCAAGATATGATTCTTCAAGTGGATGACAAAGCTGTCAGCTTGGTGGACTTGGAATCAAAGGTAAGATCTGTGACTGGCAGTTTCATTTTCAGAGAGAGAGAGAGGGAACAGGCAGAAAAATGATGTATGAGAGATTTGGTATTTTAATTAGCTTATTATCACTTTTTAACTCATGCAGCTTTTCTGAGATCAGGACTGTATATAGTAAGGTGTTGTTTTGTTGTTTTTTTTTCTCTTCTGGCAGAATGAACTGGAGAATTTTCCTTTAAGCACAATTCAGCATTGCCAAGCTGTGATGAATGCATGCAATTACAATTCAATTCTTGCGTTAGTGTGTAAAGAACCAACCCAAAACAAGCCTGATTTGCATCTTTTCCAATGTGATGAGATTAAGGTAAGGTAGTAATGGAGATCTGCTATGACTTTTTTGACTAAGGGAAATTTTATGATTTGGCAAGTACAGTGGATAAAATCAAATGAATATATTCATAGAAAAGAATTCTGTTCTCTTATTCTTATATGCTTTAACTTTTAATGCATTTATGATACCAGCACTACGTATAGTGTGTTGGTAAATGTAGCACAGTACGTCTTGCAAGAGAGTACTACCGCATGTAAGCTGAATCTGTAGTGCATGTACAAATATGTCATTGCTGTAAATATTGATTCTTGGGCTCTGTAGCTGTTCATTTAGGTTTGCAAATAAGTAAAGCTCTGGAATATGTATATAGTTTGCATTCACGTTTCTGAAGAATGTGGTGTAAAATAATTTGAATTATCTCAAACATATCTTATAGTCTGCAAAGAACTCCTCCAAGCCCTGAGTCTTGGCTAGAGTTTCCCCTTTTTCTGCTCTTTTTGCCACTGAACAATTAAACCTTCTCTGCATTCCCACCTCTTTTCAACCCTGCTTTGCTGGAGAGATAATGAAAAGGAAAATATTAGTTGCAGAAGCAGCAAAACAAGGAGAGAAATTGTCTCTGATTAAAATATTTCCTTCAAGCGTAAATATCTTTTTTTAATGTTTTCTGCAATGCTTCTTTATTTCCAGGATTATAAATTTAATTTCTGTTAGTTACTCTATATACTTTAAATTCTAACTGATAGTTTCATGGGGATTTTTTAATTCCTTTGTAGTAGTCCATATCATTGTCTTAAAAAACATTGCTAAACACATTGTGCAACTTTTTTGAAATTAGTGCAGTGAGAGTGGTGGGAAGACGACTGTTTAATTGTGTGACCACTTGCACAGAGTTAGCTGTCTCACTGGCAATTGGGATCCTGTGAGAAGATGAGGTTGCAGTATTTTAAATAATGCAGGGATCCTCGGCGAGGTCTGGTTGGACGCGGCCTCCCCAGGTGTAGAGATGGTCTCTTTTCTTCAGACTTTCATCTTTTGAAGCTGTTCCTCTGTGTGCAAATAAAAATGCAGAGCACATAAGCATGACTTGGAAGTCCAGGATCCCCTTTCTCTTCTGAGATTTTCTTCGACTCTGTGACCGTACCATAGGTTTTGTTCCTTACCCAGGAGTCTTGGCTGTTTTTGAAAGGGTAGGTCTTTCTCCCTTGCCTTTGTCCTGTTTTTAATCAGAAGTTGCCATGAACCTCAGGAGCCTCTGCAATAAAAAATTAATCAAAATCAATAGTATTTGGGGCATTCAATGTTTTAGAAACAAAAAAAATAGTTAAATAATAAATATCAAGAGTATGATTAATGGAATACTTCTGGTTTTAAGTTCCTCAAATCTGCTTAGTTTTTTTCTGTTAAGTCTTCAACCTTAATGTATCTCTAGTCCATATTCTGTAGTGCAATTCATTACAGACGGAGAAGTCCTTCAATCCCTTTAGATCCTAAATTCAACAGTCTTCTGGTCCCAGCAGAAGTTACATATTCGTCCCCAAAAATTTGCATGCTTCTTCACCATGAGGGGACCAAGAAAGATGTGGACTTTGTAGAGCGAGCCAGACACTGACAGATTTGGGCTTTGACAACCTGTGTAGGAAATTAATTTGTCAGCTGAAGACGTGTAACAGAGCATTCTAAATCCTATGAGAAGCCGTGACCTATTTAATGCAAGATCTATTAAAATAATGCCTCAGACGTGCATCAAAATTTCACTTGTGGGCCACTGGTGGAGGCAGACTATGGTTATGAATAGGCAGGAACCTATAGATTAGGAAATGTTCTGGAAAATTCATCTTCTATTAAATCAAAGAGAAACTGGAGGCTATTGTTATTTCTTAAAGGAAACTGTATAACTACAAGTTACTTTCCTAATCCTTTATGCTGCTACTATCTACAGTAGTTTTGCTGCTACTATCTATAGTATTTTTATAGTAAGTCTTTCCCCTAGAATGCTTGAGAAAAACAAAAATGACGTACGTGGAGGAGAAAAAATAGCTCGTTCAATAATGGTTGACTTGAGATAATTACATCTGCTGAGACAAATTTAGTGTCTAGATGACATACTCATCTGATGACAATGCTTGAAATTGGAACAGTGACAAAAATATCAACTCCCAGACAATAGCATTGTGTGTTTCTTCATTCTGTTTATGTGTAAAATAATTTATCCTAGAACTTTTATATAAATGGGATTTGATAAGCGATTCTGGAATCTAAAGATGCCCTAAAAAAAGTGGGTGAGGAGGTATAGCTGATAACTGATGGTTTCTGCTTCTGTCCCTTTAGGCTAGCTTTATTCATGAAGATATTGAAAGTGCAATCAGTGACAGCAAAAGTGGGAAACAAAAGAAGAGGCTTGAAACACTGAGGTAAAAACCTAACTTCTTGACAGTATATAGGATCACCAAATAGTGTTACAGCATTCAGATGCTCTCAGTCTGCCTGCTGTTTTTACTCTTTGTGCCTCGTTGATAATATACTTCCAAAACCACATGTAGAGACCTTGCTTTAATAATTATCTCATGCTGTCTCAATTTATAGCATTACTCTTAACCTTTCCTGTTTCCACCTTAGTGATGGGAACAGCTGACATCAATACCGGTTGCCAGAGAATAGAGTTGCATGTCTTAGTTCTGCATATGGTCAAGTAGTTCAGAATTTAAATTAAAATTAAATTTAAAACATAAATGCCCCGTAAGATTCTGATAAAAGGTTTTTGGATCTAAAGATGTTAAACGAAATAGCAGCTGAATATTGAACAATCTTCCTGCCTGCCTGTTTAATGATGCTGTGAAGACTCCTTGTTTCCCTGGTAGCAAAAGCTTCTCTGCCAGTAAGAAAATGTAGGGAAAAACAGTTTATTGGGTTCAGAGGAGATTAATACAAAAATGATAGGTAGCTAACAGATATATAGCAACAAGGGCACAAATATATTCAATACTGAATGGTTATGGTGGTAGTCTGTTGAAAAGTTAGTATGTAAGTGCGTCCTGATAGTATTCCTCAATAACACTTAGTTTTGTGGTCCAGATAGAGAAGTCTTTGCTGGACAAAAATCATTAAGTGAAAATGTCACCATTGTATGAACAAGTTTATAACAGTCTTAGTTACCGATTAAATTCTGATGCGCAACTTGTGAATTTTTCCTCGAGTAATGGACAGTCCTATAAAAACAAAACAAAAACTGAGCTGTGTCTAAATTTACCTGTGGGTTTAAAACTGTGGGTTTAAACACTTTTCTGTTTCTGGGACTGTAACAAACAAGTATAAGCCCAAAGAGGTAACACAGAAGGACTCAAGCACATCAGATGTGCTGGCAAACTAATGAGATCTAATTGGGAAAAGAATGTAGGTCAGTACATCTAGCGGGAAAAATAATCTGAGATATCAGCCTCCGAGGGCTGTGAGGCCAAGAGGTCATTAGTGCACGTTACTCGTTGTCGTATCGTGCACATGCTGATCGGGTCACAGGGGGAGACCCTCCTCCCTGACACCACATTATCAAGTTGCTGCAACGTTACTGACAAGTAGAAGTGTGGGATGTGCAGAGAAGACTGCCCAGGACACTGGAGGAAGGAAGGAATGGTGACAGAAACATTATTTTTTTGTTTAGTGTCCAAAGACCAAATAACACTTGACTTTTTGTGGTGGTGTTGAATGCCATGAATGAGATGGGATTATAAAGAGAAGAATTTAAGGTGAAGATCTTGCTTTTAAGTAGGGACCTGGGGAAGGGATAGGGTGTATGCGTGACAGGAGTTGTTGGGATTTTTTGTCTGTTGGTATCAAGTTGCAGAATGACTTCGAAGACCTGTTTCCTTGTGGTACTAAGAATGGAAAAACTGGAAAATTGCAGATGGGAACTTTGATACAGTCTATGAGGGGATTGTACATTTGTATCGAGACAGGATGAACAGGCCATTGACACACAAAGGAAAAACAACCTGTAAATTTAATTGGTTTTGTTGGTAGAGTTGTAAGAAACAGGTAGTTCACAACCTGTCAAATTTGGAAAATAAATACAGAACTTCTGATGGCTAAAAGTTAACTTCTAATGAAAAATTTCACATGAAATGGAGGTCCATTCAGTAAACTGCATACGGTGGTAAAAATGCCACCTACTAAACCCAAGACGCTGAACTCACCTGCGTAAACTGGCAGATCTCTAGACATCATGCTCTGCGGCACTCCTTGGGGATTTCCTATGTGGCCAGGTGACAAAAGTTTGCTAACCCCATCATGGAGTGGGTTTCCTGCTATGTTTAACATATTTACACATCATGGTCTTGAGTACTGCTTACTGGGCAAGCCCATAGTATGCTCAACAGTAGAAGAGGTCCTTGTAAAGCCTCCTTGTCTTCTTTGATTAAGCCCTAGAAAATAGAATGTTTTTCTTTCAAGTGTCACTTCTGGGCTTTCTTCTCTTCCTCTAGGATGATATCCAAAGCTGACAGCACCATCCCTCCACCGCCGCGGGCGCCTGCCCCTGTGCCACCGGGGACCATCACCCAGGTGGACGTGAGAAGCCGCGTGGCAGCGTGGTCCGCGTGGGCCGCTGAGCAGGGGGAGTGTGAGTATTTCTGGGAGCCCACTGCCTCAAGCACGGTAACAAACTGTTGTTCTGGGCAGTAGGTTTTTATGATCCGTGATAATAACAAAAATAATTTGGAAAGACCACTTTCATAAAGATTACAGTAATTGAAGCCAGATATGGAAATGGTATGAGGTCACCCCTCTGTCCTTGATGAGAGCAGGCAGGATTATTCTCCCAGTCTGGTTTGAAATGCCTCAAGCCACCGTTGCCTGATCTGGGGAGCAAGACCACACTGTCATCATCCGACTTGTCATTTACTTGCACTTACCCATTTTCTGAATTTCTGTTCAGAGCTTCTTTTACTTGTGTTTAGCTGGCTGGGGGTGTTGGCTATGGATTCTAACCTGGGCTTTTTTGTGAACATTCACAGTAGTCGGTACTGTCATAACTAGTAATTTAATGATGCTGTCTTTAGTAATAGGGAGAGCGTAGGCCAGATATTTTGGACAATTAAAAAATATAATCGTGGATTAAAAGGTGATTAGAGATCAGCATTTTTTATTTATTTTATATTTATCTTTATAATGGCCTGTATGGCTAAACTAGTTTTTTCTTTTTGTTGTTAGGTTTTTTTGTTTGTTTCTTTGTTTTTTAAAGCCCTATCCAAGGAGTACTGTAGCATTTCGGATGGGTTTGGATTTTTTTTTTTTTTTAAATCTCTAGTGGAAACATTTTTGTTTTGATCAGATTTATTTGAAAAACATATTCTTTTGAAATACTAAAGTTCCTTCTGTAAAACAGACTATATTAAAGGAATAATCTTGGTTAAACTGAGGCCTTTTTAGGTCTGGGTTCTTTTTTGTTGATTTTTTTTTCTTATAACAGATTAAAAAAAAATAGAATTAGAAGTCATTAACCATGGATTCTTTATTATTTTTGGTTTATTAAACTGTATCAGTCAACAAAGCACACAAGTATGCAAACAAAACAACTAAAAATGTTCAGAGAAACCTGTAATGTTAAGAATGTTTTTGTCTACTAATCTGCAGTATTACATATGTCTTGAGTAAAGGCTAGTTTGTTCTTCTGTTTGAGGACTTCTCGACCTCAGAGAGTTTCATTAGTTTGTCAAGTGATCTTTCTTGCCAGACCACTTGTGGACCTGAGTTCCTGCAGTTCCTTTTATTCCATTCATGTGGATCTTTCCTAAAATGTATTTACTAAAAAGGTATTCACTAAAATCCCACCTGTTAACAAAAACAATACAGTATTTAGTGTGACTTATAAATGCAACATGCGTCCTTTCTCAAAATGTTAACCCTTGTTGTTTTAGAATAAAAATCACTGACTCTGTCCATCTGTATTTGGAAATACCCGGTTTATCACCTCATTACCTCCCCCCATTTCTGTGTTACCAGACTTGGTCTCTCTATCCAAATTCCTACATCCCTTTTTGCTAATATTGCCTTCTACATCAAAATTGTCTTTGAAGTCATGGCTACACTCTTCCTTCTTGCTTGCTTCTGCTGGAGTAGTTTTCAGCATATTTTGCAAAATGGGATGATTTCTCATTACATTGTATTTATAATCTGCCATTTTCGGCTGTAATTTTTTGATTTAGACCCTGGTACCACACTTCTGTGGTTAACTTCGTTTATGCAGCTAAGTTGGTTGAAAGCATACACCTAAGCTTTTTGTGTAAGACTTGGCAGGATCAGGCATTAGGGTGCAAGATTTTCATGTGGCGTGGAGTCCTTGCAAATTGAATGGTACAAACATTATCCATCTTTTTCTCAGAGCGGTAGGGTTTCAAACATAAGCCATATAGGAAGTGTTGGTTACTAATTCTGCATACGTGGATGTCTTATTCTCCTCTTCTCTTTTCTGTAGTTGAAAAACATAGACAATACCATGATCATGAAGAAACAGCGGAGATGATAGCAGCCAGGATTGACAGAGATGTTGTAAGTGAGAAACTGCAAGCGGTATTGCTTAACGTCTGTGAAATTTTGCAGCTCCACTTTGTGGGAAGGCTTTTTCTACGTAGGAAACTCAGTTCTGGAGAAAAGCTTTCCAGCCAGCCTGTGTTTCTGTGGTAGACCTTAAACATGAATAGTCACTCATTCTTTTTCTTACTTTTTTTTTTCTTTAAAAAAGAGAAAAAAATTACTGAATGTTGATGCAAAGTTTTCTGCTGTGAAGAGCAGGCAATATAAATACTAATTTTATGTGGTAGACCAAATTCAGCAAACTATGTAAGGATAAACTTAAATTCCATTAATTTAGTGGGACTTAGATACGTGCAATATCTGGAAAATTAACATATGGTCATTTCTGATATTGTCTATGAACAACAAAATCAGGCAGGTTTTGTGTTGTATGCAATATCAAATATTGCCCCATTTGTCAATTCTAACTTTCTATTTTTCTACTTGGCAACATCCAGGAGTCTTAAGGAAAGCATGTTGGGGTTTACTGAATTGGTATATACATGTTTTCCCCAGGGGGTCCTTATTCTCCTTCACTTGCTCTTTGAAAACAATTCTTCAAAGAGCACTACCTCTATAAAACTACATTCTCATGCTCAACAAACAGCTTAATACTTTGTATTAAAGGAGATTATGAAGTTATACTGTTTAGGAAAATGCTGTCCTACACAAATAATTAGATTTTTTTCGTGTGTTCTGAGACAAAATGAAATGTGTGAAAGAATTGTGTAATTCCAATCTGAATTTAATAATCTTGATGCTTATATTTTAAAAAACTTCCCCTGGCCCTAAGTGTTTTTAAAAAAAAGATTTAAAATACTTTGCAGGTGTGTAAAGTTAAGAATAGCAATGTATTAGCATGGACTTTGTTCAGAAGAAGCTGTTGGTGTCTGAGAGTGTAGTCACATTGATTTCTGGAGTATTTCTGCTATAGGTTCTGTAGAGAAACCGTTACTTTTCTTTTTTCCCATAGCAAATTCTGAACCATATTTTGGATGACATTGAGTATTTTGTTACCAAACTTCAAAAAGCTGCTGAAGCATTTGCTGAACTTTCGAAGAGGAAGAAAACTAAAAAAAGTAAAAAGAAAGGACCTGGAGGTAGGAGTTCTTACTGCACACAGTTCTGTTTCTCTAAGGATCACTGAAGTAGCTAGCAAATGTGTCTCTTTGTGGTGGTTTTTTGGTTTTTTTTTAATGAATGTAGTAATTTTCTTTCAATTTGAACACAAAAGAGCCTACGCAGTATATTCTTAGAGGGAAACCTATGGAAATTATTTGCTTGAAGTCAATGGGGAGTGACTCATTAGAGACATGACTACAAAATATGCTCACTGCTGTAGTTCTATATTTACAAAATTCTCCAAGTTGGTAACTTTATTATGTATTTATATGTTTACCATACCTGTAATATTTACAGAAATTATATACCATATAAGTGGATATATAAAAATCTCATTTTGTTCACCAGAGGGAGTTCTTACTCTCCGTGCAAAACCACCACCTCCAGATGAATTTGTTGACTGCTTCCAAAAATTCAAGCATGGCTTCAATCTTCTGGTAAGTGACTGCTAGTGGATGTGGTGGTGTGAGGCATTCCGTAACACTTTTTTTCCTGGGATAGTTGGTGTTAAGTATAACATCATCTTTGTTTTCCCCACCACTACAAATTAATTTGTGTGTCAGTTATGTGCATTGTTTTTCCTATGTCTTATTTCACTAGTATGAAGTGAAGAACTAAAATTCCGGGGAAAGGTAAAGAGGAGAAGGAAGAATCAGTAACAAGATGGATTTGCTTTGTAGTTATTTTTAAGTTGCATTTTCTTGGAGGTTTCTGCTGTTCCAGTGTGTGTGGATGCTTTACTGTTGACTCCCTTGAGGGAGCTGCAGAAGGTTATCTTGTCCTTGAGAATGTATTAATCAAGTCTTCTGCCTTCTGTCTAACATTCCTGGTGCCTTGAACATGTGGAGTAACCTTGTGGGTCTTAAATGCCCTACTGCTGCCAGCTGTGGTGGTCACGCCATCCAGGCAATTGTGAGCCTGGGTCTGCGTTGTCTTATTCTCCACTGCTCTTTCAGAAGGAGCAAACCCACAAGTGTCTTCTAGAATGCTGATATACCTGGAAGTGTAATCTTGTTTGGTCCTTGACTGATGCGCAGGAAGATAGCTCAGCTGATACTTGACTGATCTTGGACATTCACCTTTTCCTTCTCCATCCAAGGTTGAACTGAGACAAAAGCAGAGCTGGCAGCCTCTGGCCTAGATCGGCCTTTGAGCCAGCTTTGGGATGCTGCTCCTCAAGGGCACAGTGCCTAGATGAGCATATTTCTTTTGCCATTGTTGTGTTTCTTCTTTTCCTGGTTCTTTAAAGCCTTTTTCCTGGGAAATTTGAGTTTAAATTATAAAAGAATTTCTAGGAACGTCTGAGATCATGGTTCTGTTGCATGCTTGCCAGCATCACCAGCTGTGGCCTTAATTTAGTTTTATTCAGCTACGCCCATCAGACTCCCTGTGCTTGTTGCCATCATTACATAGGACCTTTCTGGCCTCAGAACACTCCATCCAACAAATTGGTCTAGCTTTATAGGTTCTCAGCAAGCGGAGATGCTATTTCAAGAACCTTTTCCTGGCATCTCCTCTTCTGCAAATGCTACTAAAGGAAGTCAGCAAGTGGGACACCTTCATTTGCTTTCAGATGTTGACTATCCCTTCCAATTGCTGGGGAAGCTATGCCAATGGGGAGAATCATTCTTGCATTCACTGAGTCAGATCAGCTTTTTCTTCCTCTTGGGCAATGAATTCTGACTGCAGGGCTGTAGGAAATATTTAGAAATGTTAAGAATATGTAATTTTTTTTCAAACCCTACATTGAATGCTGTGATTCTGACCTCAAAGGATATCTGTTTTTGTGGGGATGGATGTCTTAGAACATGCCGATCCTTCTCAGTAATAGTGCTTGTAATGTTTTTTCCATTCTTATGTCTTACTGCATTCTGCATTTAAATTAGATTTTCACCCAAGAACCATGTGTGCATCTTTGAATCTTTTATCTTCTATGCAGGAGAAGAAGCAGTTCTTGTTTTGGTGCTCAGCAGCATCTAGGACCTGGTTTTTAATGTTGCTCTTGAAGAGCTGTGCAGTAACAGTGCTTTACTTTCAGCATCATTGCAAGAGCCACAAAAGCCTGAAATTTCACTTCCTCGTGCTTTATGTCAGACGTGGAGAACTGTATAAAATGAAGAATCTAAATCTGAAAGTTTAAAAATAAAAGGAGCAGCAAGAAGAATAAAATCTTTGTCAGTAGAATAGAAACTGGTTTAAAACACCATGCTGGAAGCTCCTAGAAAATGCGTACCATCTGTCAAAAAAACTTTTAAAAGACTGAAAGTTGTTATGACCGAAGAACAATATATAGGAAGTTATTAGAAGTAAAAACGCCTCCTCCTCCTCTCTTCATTTGGAGGCACACTCGGGAAGGCTAGATGTAAAGGTAGAATGAGGCTAGCCAAAAGCAGTTTGAGGAACAGATGACAAGATGCAATAAAAACTACTATAACTTTTTAAAGCACATGCTGGCATGCTGCTTGTTTCTGGAGCCTGCAGGGCTAACGGATGATCAGTAAATAAAAGAAATCCTCCAAGATGCTGTATCAGAGAAAGTATATTCTTTTTTTTTTTATGCATATATTTACATGGAAAAGCTTAATAGTGGACAATACATTCATGAAAACCATTTTGGGGGGGGGCACAAGAGATTAACTCATTAACAGTTCTTCAATTTGAAATTGATAAGAACAGCAAATCAAAATGGCAAGTTACAGGCAGATGAATAGAAGCTGTTTGAATGGGCACCGCTCATCCATCTATGCCAAAAACTAAGTCAGCAGACCACGCAGTATGGTGTGTAATCTCTCTCAAACTGTCTTTCTTCCAGAGAAAGAGAAGTGTTTAAGGTAATGCTGATAATCTTTAAAGTCATTTCAAGGATCTGAGCAACTACGACGACCAGGTACCCCTGAGGTACACACACATGGGGTGCAGTTTGTAGGCAGGTGTATTAAATTGAGGAAGAAGCAAACATGCATCTTGCAAAACGAAATAATGTCTAAAAATAAATAATTAATGCTTTGATTTTGTTTCTTTGGATTTCCAAGACACATCCAGCAAGGCTGCACACCCTGAAGTTCTTAAAGAGGCTGAGCTACTATGAAGTTGAACGTAGCTTCTTAGATTCTTGTTTGGTGAAATAGAAAACAAATTATAGGACTAAAATGCCTGTTCTCAAAGTGCAGTAAATTCAGCAATGAATTTTTAGCAATGAAATTCAACACATGCCTGTGCAGAGGCCTTTGCTATTTACAGGTGTTCTGGCAAATGGGGAGTGTAGAGTCTACAAATGTGGAAATATCTCATGATAGTAAGTAAAGCGACATATGAAATTTAGTATTGATACATATGATAGCGTGTGAACTCCTGGGGAAAAATCTCATATATAAAACATATTAGAACAAAATGTTGATGTAATACCGATTCTTGTGAGAATGTCATCCTAGTTCAATGGTGATCAACCAAGCAAATGTTAAGAACCATCAGGAAAAAAAAAAAAAAGAAAATGAACAAATGCTGTTATGTTCCCTGGCCTTATTTTGTTCCCGGTGTAGCAAAATTGAAGAAGGTACAGGGAGGGCAAGATTGCTCCAAGGAATTACTTTAGCTTGCAAAAGACCAAACAGAGTAAGATCTTGTGTATTAAATCTGTAAATGGTTATGAGCATCACTGGGAAAAGTGAGTAGAGAAGGATTGCTCAATTTTTATTTGGAAAAGAACTACAGAATACTAATGACACTAAGAGGCAGCAAATTTCCAAAGGACATGCTTCTTCACAAAGCATATAATTCAGTTGTGGAAATTTTTGGTTTGCACAATAGGTGCTAAAGATATACATGGATTCAAAAGCAATTGGATGAATGAGCACTTGCACTTAGCAGATGTTGCAGACAAAACACTGGGCTTAGGTCAATCTGTGGCCTGACCAGGGGTGGCCATTCTTATGTGAAGTATTTATTATCATAAAAGTTAACCATTTCTTAAAATGTATCATTTTCTGATTCCTTCAGGCCAAATTAAAGTTCCATATCCAGAATCCTAGTGCAGATGAACTGGTTCATTTTCTGTTTACCCCACTACATATGGTAAGTTTTTATAATTTTCTAAGTATTTTCCTTCAGAACTCTTGTATTTATATCCTCTGTGACCTTTTCAAGGATAACAAGACTTAAATGTTGTGTCCCTGGACAATAACTAAGGAGAAATGTGTGTCTCAGGATAAGATTCTCTTTAGAAAATAATTTATATCCTTTTCTGTGTATATTCCCATCTATTAAATATATTTATTTAAATAATCTTTAGCTTTGTGTGTGTTGCAGTTTGCCATTATAATTTCTAATAAACAATAAAAAATTGAGGTAATTTACATAATGCAGGAGGAGAATTGAAAGGATAACCGTACGTCTACTTAATGGAAGTATGTGTGGTTTTGATCAGTAGAGCAAAAGTAACATTGCAAGAAGTGGGTCTAAATATAAAATGGTTGGTGACCAGAACAGCAGTTCTTCTGCAATAAATGCTTTAGTTAATCTGTAGGACGGTAAGAGACATTGTTAGCTTCTCAGATTTTTTATTGCGGAGAGGGGGTGTTTTTGTGAGTAATAAATGTTTCCTAGTAGGACTGTTGGTAACATATTCACAGTAACTTCCATACGGACAATGTGTATGTTCTTTGTATTATTTTTATACTTGAACTTAGGTGGTGCAGACAACAGGAGGTCCAGAGCTTGCTGGTACAGTACTCAGCCCCCTCTTAACAAAAGATACTATAGACTTCCTGCTATATACTGTCACTAGTGAGGAAGGACAGTTATGGATGTCATTAGGTGACACGTGGACCAAAGCCAGGTGAGAAAAAGCCTTTGCATATTTTAGCGATAATCTCTAAACTCAAGTTTATTGACATGAACTTAACCAGGTTGTTCAGCCCCCAATAAACTCAATATTAATTTGTTAGGCTTTGAACTCTTCAGAACAGTTCTTTGAAGTTTTTGGAAAGGAGCTCTTCAGCCTCAGTGGGATTTGGGAGTGGTTTGATTTTAAGGGTCTCAAGGAGGGAGAAAATGGAGACTGAATTTTTTGTTTTGCCCATGGTATCAAGAACTTCTTGACATAACTTCTTGCAGTCCTTTTTTCTGAACTGTCGCTTGCATGTTTCCAGTTGTTTTCCATGATATTTTTCCAACCCAGCTATCTGGACTTCATTAAAAATCAATCTGAAGAAGCTGCAATAAAAAGTGACGAAATATTGATGAACAGGACACAGATTTCTATTTTCAATTTCCAATAATTATCAAAAGCTAAAAATTTACAAAGTCTTTACTTCTTCAAAAGCATCATAATGCTATAAAGAAAATGCTTATAATTTTTAAACGATGTTTATTGGCTGAACCATGTTACATGTGCGTACTCTACACAGTAGACTCAATGGATTCACTATTATGGTTAGGCTTACCTAAAAGTTAACTTTTTTCTGCATTTGGTGTTTTTGAGGTAAATATATGGTTTGAAAATACTTAAGTAAATAAAACATGCAAAAGAAAAAGCTTAAATTAGCAAAGTGCATTTTAACTCTGTAATCTGGGTTAGTTAAGTGCTTTTGATGATGAGGAAGTATGTGTAATCACTTGGGCTGGAAATGCATCATGTATTTTGTGTTTATTCACCCTAGATTTCAAATTGGGATATAAACATCTACCAAGTGGATTTGTTTAATTAATTAATTGATTGATTAAAGAGTAGTTGAGTGTTTTGCTGGTAAGGAAGGCTGCATGGAATGCCCTAGAGCATGGAATGACAAATATCCTCAGAGCAGGAATAGTGAGTTACAGGTCTTTCCCTTCCTTGAGCTCAATCTGCTGCAGGACCAGGAATGTCCAAATTTGTCCTTTGGGCATATTGTTCAGCCTGCTACTACAAAATGATCTGGAAACAGGAATTGCAGCTCCTTGTGATTGTCAGAGAGCTTACCCCAGCAAAGCACCGTCTGCTTGCCTTTACCTGCTTCAAGCTCTGCTGACTTCATAGCAGCTTGTGGTGGGACTGGAAATTGCCTCATAGCATTGGAGCCCTGTGCAGGGAAAAATGGCTCACTGGGTAAAATAATGGGCTCCTTGTCTTGGGAACTACCGTCATCAGTCGTTTAGTCCATCCTGAAAAAGGTTTAACAGAAAGAGAAGTAGCTTATGTTTGGCAGTGAAGAATGAAGCACTTAGAATGTAGTTGGTTGACCTGTGCAGATCGGAAATGATGGTCTGATTGATCTCACTATACAGAGGTACACTGTGGTGTGTTGTAACAGGAGAGGTGAATGATGAAACTCAAGGGTTACTGACCTATCTCAGGCCTGCTAATGGGCTGGTAATTGCTTACTGCTCCTACAACTTGTGTAACTGGCAGCATTTGTCCCTTAATTTTGAGCAGTGTCAACAAGACTGTTAAAAGACTGTAATGTACATTCCCATTTCTGCTTCCACTGTGAAAATACAGTAATATATATTGCGGGACAATGTGTTATGTATAGTGCAAAGGCAGAGCATGAAATCTTTTATTTAGGTATTTTGTATTACAATGGGGAATGCTAATGGAGCTCTGAAAAGTGACACAGTATTTTTAAAAGATCAATCAGGACAGCAAATGTGATGATATTGCTTGTGTCTTAGAGTGTGTACAGTTGATTTTTGTCAGTAAATGCTATTGTTTAACTTTCTTTTAGGTGTAGCTAGGCTCCCTAAGCTTCCATGCTCCACACCTGCTTTCAGACTTTCTTATAAAGCAAGCTGCTTCTTTGAAGTCTTTTGTCTGGTGCTTTAACATAAACAGAGCGTTGCAATATTTTACCCTGTTTAACAGTTAAGATGAATCCGAGATTTGTTTGTGATTGATTCTTCGGTTACTCATCCTTTGCTACAAGACAGAAATTTGTTGTGTTTTACCAGAGACAAGAACTTACGGCAGGAGCCGTTTCTTTCTGCAGGGCACAGCAGGGAACATAGTTGTGGTCAATAAATGTTTCTGCTGATTTTCTGTGTTCCAGCACAATTCTGCCTGTACTGTAATCCCAGCCTCTCCTCTATACTAACAAAAATTCTAAAGCATTTCAATTTTTAGGAAACCTATTAAACCAATATTTGTATAGCCCTTGATACAGATCTCTAATTTACTTTTCGTACAGAGCGGATTGGCCCAAAGACCATTTTATTCCACCTTATGTCCCCCGTTTCCGAAATGGTTGGGAGCCTCCTTTGCTGAACTTCATGGGAGCTCCAAAGGAGCAAGAACTCAATCATTTGGCTGAGTCCGTGGCAAATGTTGCAGAGCAACAGCGGAAGCAAGAAATGAAAAGACTGTCAACTGAGGTAGGTTACCTTCGACAGCGTTTTGTAAATTAGCTGAAGGCAACACCAACTGTTTCCTTCGTAAAGAAAATATTCTCTGACATTGCTGATGTAACCGTGCTCTGACGTCTGCTACATCAGTGCAAGCTCGTTAGACTTATATTAAAGTTATATGAAACTAAATACCTGTTCAGCCACCCAAAATGTGACTAGGAAAAATATAAGGCTTCTGCCTACTGCTCTCCTTGAACTTGGTGCACTTTCCTGACTCGGTTGGGAGGACAATCCAAGCCCCTACGGTTCAGTTTAATTCTTGACCCGTGCTTTCAGATCCCATTGCTTTTGATCATATATACATCAGGTGGAATTCGAACCAAAGTTCTCAAGCATGTATCCGTGTGCAGGCACACAGACAAAAAGAAAGACACACCACTTTTTAGGGAATTTTGGATTTAAGCTGCATCTTCACAAATGTGGAATTTAATATTCCTTTCATAATTTCTTGATACTTTCACTGCTTTGCAAGGAAGTATTTGGAGGTGCTATCAGAGTAATGCCATGTCAGGTAATTTAGGCCTGCTTCTGAAAACTAGCTGCCAATTAGAAGAATTATTGCACAGGAACATTTTCCCATCCTTTTCTCCCAAGAAATGTGATTAATTTAGCAAAAAATAAGTTATTCTGTTTAGGGAATGGAAACATGCATCACCATCTAAAGCCATCAGAGAAACCAGAGTGTGTTTTCTGACTAACTTTGTCAAGAAACAAAGGGGCTGACTATAAAGTCTACCCCATACTCTTTTACAGTAGAGTTGGCCAGAATATGTACTTTGGTTTATGTGAAATTTTTAAGTATAAAGTGGATTTTGTTGCTTTTTAGTTCAGGAAAAAAGCCATTGCCTTTTTAAACATATAAAAGTTATAGGTTTGGATGGTTTTTGTTGTTTTGTTGGGAGGACATAAGCTTTAATTTAAAATTTTAGTTTATTTTTCTATGCTAGCTTTAGTTTCAATCAAGTGTTAGCTAGTCCAAGATCTCCTGTTAGCAGCTGTGATATGGAAGTACACCTAAGAATTTTCTAGGTTCAGTCCATAGTCTTTCATGTCTTCCTCAAGCAATCTACACCAGTACTATATTTGGAGTATATCTTAACGCAATGATACTGAATTTTATCTTAATTTTATAACACGAATCATATATAGCTTTTTATCTGTTAGTGAAAAAATGCACATATGGAAGAAGATTCAAGGGAAGGATTATTGGATGTTGTGAGAAGGTGTTCTTGCAGAGCAATTCTCTTATTGGAGACAACAGAGCTTCCCCAGCAAAAGTTTATCAAAACTGCCCATGGAAAGCTTGTCACAATAAAACTGTTTTCATTAAAATCTCCATTAGTGGAAAAAAAACCCAACAACCCCAAACCAACAAAACCAAAAAACTCAGCTATAGAGATAAACAAATTGGGTAAAAGTCTGCCAAGCAAAGGAGGATAACATGGTACATATTTGATTACTTAAAACACTCTTTGGCTTTATGCCTAACAAGATATGCAAGAATAAATGTACCAAAAACTAAGTTATTGCCAGTGATTCATTCTGGGAAAAAACCCCCACAACATTTAGTAAAGTTAATGGGTGCAATAATATGAAATGTAGCTGTTGCCATTGCTGTCACCCCCTTCTCTAGTCAGCTCCCAAAAAAATCTCATTAAACATTGTCGCAGTGGTTCACTGCTGTTCTACGTTTCTGTGCAGGTTTTTTTGTTGTTTTCTTTTGCATTGTGCACCTTCTAAATTAAAAAACAAAACAAAGCAACAACAACAACCAAAAAAATACCCCAAAAGCAAAATAGTATTAAAAAAAAGAACAACATTGATTTTTCCGTTCTGATGATTGTACGAATTTAATTTGTTATTTCTCTATATATGATAAGTCAAACCAATTTTTTTAGGGGGGAGGAAATACACTGAGGGATTTTGGTTGCTTGTGTTTCAGGGAGTTCATTTCATTCTTTTTGGTGTCAGTAGCGCTGGTTGGATTGTCAGCTGTTTGTGCCAGCTTAGCCTCTTCGTCTTAATCATCAAAAGACCCCAAAAAAGTGAAATAAATCCCAGTTCACTGGAGGCGTTTAGGTGCCTGGGATGTCAGGCCTTGGTTTCATGACTGTAGCTGATTCCCGCGTGGTCTCGGGCAAGTCGTTTAACCTCGGTACCTTGGCTCCCTGCACCAGTGCCTCCTCAGCACATCCCTAGGGGTAAAAACGCTGAGCTGCTTAATAGCTGCGAAATGCTGCAGGTGCTCAGCTGGAAAAAGCTGTGCCAGTGCAAAATGCTATTTGTCTGCAGCAAAAGGACCACCCTGGAGTGGGTGATAGCAGATACTCTTTCCGAAGTCTGCTGTAACAGCTTCTTTAACGAAGGGTGCTGGAAAAAATAAGAACTTAAGTGTTCGTCTCTTGCCGCTGATTGGCCTCGTGTCTCGGTGTGATGTGGCTCTCCCGAGGAACGAGGCTGCACATCAAGAGCCATACCATGCTGGGGGTGCGTGCAGCAGCCCTGGTTGTCCTCCCGGCCGGGCAGAGACTGCTCTGCCATCTGGCAAAGTGCACTGGAGGTTCACTCTCATGAGAACCTTTTTTTTCTTTTCCTTTCCATTCCTGAATCTTAAGATGTAGTCATGCACGCAGCTCCCACCAGGAGGGGTTTCAAGGTGGACTCAGTTCAGCAATGAGGACTTGAAATGGCAGTGAGACAACAGGGAATCAGTTGAGGCTAAGGTGATGCCGACAATTTGAGTGTGAAGTAAATGAGTTCCTGCTTCCCACGTGTCTTGATGTAAGGTATAAGCTAGGTGACACTTGACATTTTTTTCAGGGATGTCTTAATAATAGAGTTTTAAGGAATATTCTAGGTGGGGGTGGGGGTGTGTGGTGTGGTTTTAATGTCTTTGCATAAACCCTTGGTCCCATGGGCAAGTGTCTCTGGGTACCAGGTCAGGTACTTGAAGGTAGAAATTAGGTGAGTGGCTTTTCTGTATCCACACAGGCAGAAAAAAATCCCAAACCAGCCTTAGGGATTTGGAAATTTCTGATGAATCTCAACGGTCGTATAAGGATAAGATCTAGAATGAGAAGTTTCAATATCGTAATCTCCAGAAATGAACTGCTTAGCTTGGCTTTGTTTTGGGCAGTGGTGGTTAAAGTAGTTCTTACTTAGAAGCAGTGTCATTGCTGTACTTAAGGTGTTTTGGGTTTTTTTTAAGGACCCCTGTTTAAAAATAATTTCCTAAAGCCTTGAATATTTTTATATATGTGTGCTTGTGATACATTGTGATTATTTTCCTTAATTAAAATCCCTAATTATACCAACTGTCACATTCCTTTTTGCATTTCTTCTTTGACTGTAGTCATGTTTAGCAAGAGGACGGCATAAATGAGCCACCTGATATTATGATCCTGCAGTAAAGTGATAATTTTACTTGGAAGGTTTTATTTCTTATACAGACTTGCTGCTAGTTAGCTAGTTTTCTGGCTCTAAGTGTACATCTGGAACAAAAGCTCAAAGCAGTTTCTCAGTGCAGTTTATTTTAAAGCCATACAGTCGTCGTTGTTTATAAGTTGTGTTGCTGTAGTGATATCTGAGAGATGACATGGACTTTGCCCCAGAGAACTGTTTTTCTAAAGAATATCCACTGCAATATTAATGCAGTGGGATGACTTGGGATAGAAATTCTTTTATTCTTATCCTTTTGATCTCCCTGTTTATCTATTTGAAATGCAGAAGTTATTAACTTTTCATAGCAGAACCGTGAGCACCTGAGGACGCCTGAATGCTGACAGGGACCCTAGGGGTGCTGGATTAAGTGAAGGAGGCGGCGCTGCTGATGACACTAATCCACTTTGTGGCTTTGTTTCTGTTTTGTCTTCCAGCCTCCCAGTGTTCCCGACTACCCTCCGTCCGACGGGTATGCATTCAGTAACACGGTGTACAAAAGAGGGCCTCTGCTGGACCAGGGGGCGGCTGTTGCTGCCTTTAAGCAAACTGTTAGCCGACATGTAGATAGGTAACACTGAACCGATGGCGTACGTGGTGCTGTGGATAACTGTCCCGACTTACTGCTACTGGGGTGGTGGGGTCTGTAATTACCTCTGGTTGTGTCTGGAGCAGATCATTATTTCTGTGAGGAAAGCGATTCTTGTTAGCAGTGGGTATTCTGCTTTTGCTTCTCTAAAGCACATTGTTAAGACTCTCTTAGTATAATTTCTATGAATGGACCCTGTTTATGTATGCTGTTAAATCGATGCTTTTCTCAAAAATTATATAGTGGATTTCCAACCCAATTAAGAACACAGAATCCTCCTGTTTGGGTTTAAATTTTATTTCTGCTTTGCTTCATGCTTTTGAAGATATTCTTTGCTCTTTTCAGAACTACAAAGAATGACAAGTCTGCTCTGAGATTCATCTGTCCTTGTTTCGAATGATCATTTGATTTGTTTAGCTGCTCACTTAGTGCTCCGTAGTCTCCTGGTTTTTGTTGTCTGGGCTGGAGCATAAATATACCCTTTCAGAATAGTCACTCCTTGTTTCTTCCATTCTCTTTCAAATGTTACCAAAAAATGCTCTGAAATGTTTGCATAGCAACCAGTGTTTTTTAGCACATCCTCTCTCATCCCCTTCATTTTAGCCTGCATCCTAATAGCTTGACAAGATCAAATGCAGTGACCCTTGGAGTCTCAGCCTTGTCTGTGGGGAGAGTTTATAGCAGTACAAACTGTGGAAGTAAATCGGTAAAACAGTGTTGGAATCCCTCCCCCGCGCCAAACCATAGTCTGTATATACCATATCAGGAGTATTTTACCTTATGTGCAATGGAAGATGTTTGATCTAAGTTTTTGGGATTAGATTTGCTTGTTAAAACAGCATTGATATAACTCTTTTGATGAAAACCTTTGCATAACCCCTGGTTTTGAGCTATGTGCTAAAAGATCCTGTTTATCTGCATGCAAACATATTCTCACGTGGTGTGCAGGGTGAAGACTTGATTCTTTTCCTGAATTTTGGGTTTATTCTTCATAACAAGACCATCAGTAGTGACCTCTAATCCTTTTCTCAAACTTGGTTACTTTTTGGGTTCTTGTCTCAGGACCAGTCAACTTGAAACATAGATGATGTGTACTCTAAATTCCTTTCTCTCCTGTCTACAATGCGATAAGACCTGTTTTGTTCTTGCAGAGTAAGAGTATTCCATTCAAATGTTATTGCCTCCATTTCAGGTTTAGAGAGTGGGGCTTATTGCATTGAGCTATTGATGATATCATTGTACCTGGCTGCAACTGAGAGAGTCATCCAAGCCTCCTTTGTGGCGGGTAAAGAGATATGGCCGTTTCTAAGGAGCAGTTCATGTCAGGTGAAATTAGTCTTTTGAAAGATGTGAAATGAGAAATGCAGTAGTGGTACCTGTTTCTCACCACTGATTGCAAGAGAGAGTCTAGATGGCTGGTACTGATGCAAACATCCCCAGTGTGCCCCTGTCTTCCAGTCTGTTCAACAGGACACGAACTTCCATTTGTTAATAGGCTCTTGAGACATACAATATGTGCCTGGTAGGAGCTCATTATTGGGAGAAAGGTGTTAATATGTATTACCCCAAGTAAATTCTATTGAAAGATAAATTTTAAAGCATCTGCGAAGAAGCAGGTGGAAGAGTGGGTTTGGGGGAGGGAGTGAGAAATTCAAGCTGATCCTTTAAGCCATCGTTTGCTGGTCCTTGTTCAAAGCTGGCATTCCTAATGAGCAGTCCCAGTGACTGGGCCAGCCAGTGCCTTCTGAGGGCCAGTTAGGTTACACAGGGAACTTCAGTGAGCCTTACTCCAACATGCCAGGACCTGCAGTAAGGTGTGCTTTCCTTGGGTGATTTAAACTAAGCGTCAGGATCTTAAACTTTCAGTGTGTTACTAGGTATATTGGGGACTTTCTCTGACAATGAAAGAGAACAGAATAGTTTTTCGGCAAGTCATGTGGTGCTTCGCAGTGGTATGCTGCGTAGTTTGGTTTTGCGCTGTCGTTTGAAGAAAAGCAGCCTGGAAGTCTGTGTGATCCACTAGGGTCTGGTTCAGCCTTCACAGGAGAGCAGAGGGCTGCAGTGGCAGTGTGTCCGACAGGCGATAAGAAAGCACAGCGGAGGATGGAGGGAAGGAAGCTCTGAGAATGTTGTGCCCCAAGTAAACTGTCTGGCTCATTAAGCTGGGCTTGAAGAATTGCGGTCTCGTCAGAAGCGTACGGCCACAGACTAGCCCGTGTTCTGGGGATGTTGCTGTTGATTTCAACAGAGTGGAGTAAAACTGAAATGTTAGCCTTTTTTTTTAAATTCCTCCTGAGTAATGTTTTTGAAGGGATCAGGATTGTTAGGTGTGGACAAGGCAGGATGATACTGCTAGCGAAATGAGTTTGGAATGGCAGCCTAAAAGTAAAAGTGCCTTCAGAGGTACATTAGTCATATCCCTGAAATAGTAAGAAAGGAGTTCAAAATTATATGAACTTTGAGTGGGTGGTGGGAAAAAAAATGGGATTACTCACACATCTTTCAGCCTCATAACAGCTATTCTGCAGGCTGGGCTTTGTCCCATGTTTTTCACTTTCTCCTTAAACACTTTTAGTGTTTTGTCTTTCTTTCAAAATAATCTTTCAATCTAAAAATGACTCTTCCTTTGTTCTGCTCTTCAAGTCAAGTGAGACAGTTCTCCACAGCCATGCAATAGCTAGGTAACTACTGGACTGCTCAGGCACACCTGGGACCCACAGTTACACAGCACCAGCATCAACAACCATCTGCATTTGTATCCCTGTGCTATGATGTCATATGCAGCATTTCAAGCCATTCGTTGCATCACGTTTTCATTATGTGTTTGAATTTTATTTATTTTTTTTTGAAATGTTACTGCCTGGTATGGATTTGGGTTGTTGGATGTAATTTGCAATAAGGGAATAATGTTACTGTTAATTTTGGACCTGTTTTGAGGGGGCTGGGGGGCTTCTCACCTTGAAGAGGTACTACAGCAAAGAAACTTATCCAAAGGCATTCTGAACAGGTCTTTCCTCATGGAAACAGAAAGACACAGAGTTAAACAGTGGTATGCCTTGTTCTACAATGAACCCTGTTTGTAACTGCCAAGAAGTTATTTTTCATTTTTAATTGATATAGTAACTTGAGGTTGTTAGAGTTGATGGTATCTTATGGTCAATTAAGAAAACTGATCTACAGTAGGCGAGCATTTTTTAGTGTTTTAATTCCGTTGGTGTTGATGGCAACAAATTATTCATCTGTTCTGTATTTGAAACAATTTATGATGAGCACTAGAAATACAGGTTCATACAAAGCACACGATATCTATTATATACTAAGTATAGTCATTTGTTTATATGGCAAATGATTGTTTAACCTACTGTAGGAAAACAGACTAAATATAGTGTACATGTTTATTTTAGAACAATGGCACCTGCTAATCTAAGTTGTTATCATACATCTTGCAAGCAGTGAGCCAATAAAGGTTACTGATTTTTGAGGTTCATGTAGGTCAATGGCCTTTCTTTTGTTACTTTTTTTTTTTTTGCACTTAAATTAGTGTGTTATGAATAGGTAGTTATACAGCAGCAGCATGTTATGGTGGGGTGGGTTTTTTTGTTTAATTGTTTTGCAGGTTGTTGGAGGAGGGCATTTTGTCTGGGTTTTTATTTCCTCGAATGTCTCACTGAACAGTATTCTGATCTTTGCTTTGCAGAAACTATGAAGCACACAGTAAAGCACAGACCAAGAAATACGCCAAATGCAAGTACGAATTTATGGCAAGAAACAACAGTGAGCTTTCTGTCATGAAAGAAGAGATCGTAGAGGTAATTTTTTTTGCAAAGAGAAAATGTGAATTTCTGGTACTACTCAAAGCTGAGGGCATCCTTCCTGTGGACAGTGTGGCTGTCCTTAATGATTACTTCAATGCGTTTGATTTATCTCCCTTAGTATAGAAAGTTCAATTAATCTGTTTTGTATCGTAGGCAGGACAAACAGAGATTCTGCACTGACTTATGAATTGATGCTGTAGAGATCCATGCTAGAAATATATTTCTGTGTTTCTTCCATCTTCTCTGTTGTTGCTTTTAAAAGCCTCATTAAATAGTATTTCAATAACTGGCTCTGGCAAACGCTATCTGTGTATGCACAGGGCATATTGAAAGACTGTCCTTGCCTGGGAGAGTTGGTACCCCTCAAGCTAGACACATTTGGAAAGGAGGGAACAACAAAGGGAGAAAATATTGCATGTGAGATTGCACGGCAGCTAGTCAGATTTTAGACTTCTCCTGGCCACCCTCTTCCAGTTCCCTGTTTACACTGAAGTGCAGTCTCTGCAAATTCGTACTCTCCTAGAAGAATGCGCTTTTCCTTGGGTTGTCAGTAGTGACTTACTCCTTTTGTCAGCAGCATAGAGGCTGCAGAGATGCCAGCCTCTCTGCGCAAGTATTTGATTTTCGTTCTGATCTCTTGTCCAGCACGTGTCTGAGTTTACAGAGGTTCATTACACACTTTTCTTCCGTATCCTTTCTTCAGAGCCGTGTTTTGAAAAGTACAGTACAATCACATAGAACTAATGATGGTGATAATCAAGGAAGCCTAGAGGGGTTTCTTGGGGACATCTGTGTAAGATCTGTTGGCAATTGCAGAATCTGGCAAAGTTATGGTTTTATTTTGAAATGATACACAGTCTAAGTACTGGCAGGAAGAAAGTAAAAAAAAAAAAAGCCTATGCAATTAATTTACCAAATTATTTCAGATTCTGGATGACAGAAAGCAGTGGTGGAAGGTTCAGAATAAAAGTGGCAGCATAGGCTTTGTGCCAAACAACATTTTGGACCCTCTGAGGAATCAAGAAGGTGCTCTAGGATGGTCAGAGCCTGCATTTACCCGCACCATCCAGGTACCGTCCGCTCCTTGGGAGCAAAATTTTCTTTTTAAGTGTGCATGTGTGCGTGTGGAGGAGGAAGAGATTCCCAGCAAGACTAAAATATCTGCGTGTTCCACTAATATGTCAAAAGTTTTATATTTCATGTACAGGCTGAGGCTGGTTTCTGTATTGCAGAGTCTAACATGAGAATAAAGTTGATAGACAAACAGCAAAATGTTTTCCTTTAAGTTTTGGGTTTGGATTTTTTCCTGCTTATTTGCTTAGAGGTGGTAATTTCGATCCTAATGGATGTGTATGCGTTTATTTTAATTGCAAATATCCTTTGTGGATTGATAGCTGTTGATGCCAAAGAAGGAGTTTGAATTATTTAAGGTAGGGTCATCTTTGTTTCTCCTAGGAGAGTGAACGCTAGCTTTTCTTTTTATTTTCTGTCTTTGTGTGTCTCTATCTTAGTCTTGAATGTATTTAATTATTGTAATTTTGGAATCATAAAAAATAGGCGTCTTTGCTTTTGAATTCATAAAACAGGTATTTTTCAATTATTATGCCTGTGCATCAATAGCACTCTATTCTCCTGACCTAATTTCAGTTTTCGTTCTTTCATGTTGGGGTGTGGAATTAAGATTTGTTGTTATTGTTGTTTCTTTTATATGTTGAACAGAATTCGAGGGTAAAATATTAATAAAAGAACAGAAATCTTACGTCAGTGTGATTGTCCACCTGAGTAAGGATATAGAGGATAAAGTTGTAATGTGTATTTTAGAAAAAATTTAAGTGGGCTGGAGGCTCATGAATAAGAGGTTGTATTTTCTAAGACCCCTTTCTTCCCTTTTATATCTAATGATTTTGAAAGGTTAGGCAAACAAGTTTGGATTAAGCAGAAATTCCAGGCCTGCCTCTGAACCAGACTTTTTCAGTCCAAATGCAAACCAAACTTCTGTTGAAACTTGCAGTTAAATTTAATTTAATTTAATTTAATTTGATTTAATATTCATTCCTTGTGCCTGCACACTCCAGCTGATGACTGAAAACCAAGAAATTCCATAATGTTGCTGTTGACTGTCTCTGCTGCAGACTCATCTAAAAGCCCCAGCGGAAGGTGTTGCTGTGCTGGATTCTGTGTGCACAGCTACTGTGAAAGCTGCAGCTTTTGCAGTATTTCCAGTTTTGCCATGGATATGGAAAATCTCTTGAGAAACAGGTCCTATGTTATTTCTGGCACAATAATGTGGTAGACCTGTCTTGAGCTTGGTGGGCTTGAATCAGACTGTTTCTGAGTTTTTCCTATCCTTAATTGTTTGCCTATAATGTATGAGCTCATTCTAAATTGATTATGCTTTTTGCCTGTGTGTGAAATGAAGCATGCATCTAGAGTGCTTTTCAAATCCCGTTTTAAAGGTCTGACTTTTTTTGCTTTGGGTGCATCTCATTTTGTGTGTTTGGAATTTGCCAAGAAATCCCGAGCAGACAGACTACAGTTTTGAGTAGAGGTTCTTACACTATTCTTTGTAATGCACTGCAGGTTTTGAAGTTTTCTGTTTGAAATAATGACATGACATGGGAAATAATAATCATTTTCGCAAAGCATTCTTCATGGACCTACGAAAATCAGGGTCAGAGAACAACATTTAAGATAATTTTGTTTCTTTACCTTCTGGCAGCTTGTTTCCTACAGTCCATGGTTTGTTTTGTTTGTTGCTTTATCATATTCAAACGTGAGCTTGAAATATTGTGAAATTATTTAGGAATATAATGAGGTAGACAGGAGAAAGGGAGTCTTTATAGACTGAGACACGTCAGTAATGTTGTTCTGAAGTTTCTGGTGACTATTATAATTCTAGCACTCCTGAGCATGCTCGTTTGTCTCTTTCCCTGCGATAGATACATGGTTCATTTGGCATCTGTTTGCATAACCCTATTTATTTTCATAACAGCGCCAGGAGACATTGCTGCTATTTCAGAGAGAAACGAGGCATTGAAGGGATGACTGCCTTGCCCAAGGTCAAGCAGGAGAACTTGTGGGTAGAGCAGGAAATTGAAGCGGTTCCTATCAGTGCCTTTGCCAGAGCCTGAACGGGAGCAGGCTCAGTGCCCGGTGCTGGGTGGCTTTTGCCGGTCTCCTAAGTCGTCTTTGGTTTTGAAAAGGCTGCTTTCAAAGTAGCCTGTCTGCTGCAGTGAGCACCCTGGTTGGCTTCAGGCCACAGATAAGTGTTATGTACAAGGCCAGCGTGGTTCTTTAGGGACTAATGGCCTTCAAAGCACAGCTGGCCAAAGGATGTTTCCAGGTTATTAGGAAGGATTAAGGATTCCATTGAAAGATATAATGTTTTCATTTGATTATGCAAGACAGACTCGCTTTCGCTGAGAGGTGGATGCATCATTGTCACAGTTATTCTCAGAGCTACAAAGTTTATTTTACTCTTGCTCTGTTCCCTCCCTGAGCAACTTCTGAGTCCACACAGTAGATTGGATCCTGATTTTTCTCTCAGTCCCGTTCAGACTCCAGGTCCCAGACAGTTACTTGAAAGCACTGAATTGTCTAAGATGATACTTGCAGGAACATTGCAAGCATTATCCTTGTTGTTTTGTCGTCTTTGTGAGCCAGAGGCTGTAACATTGTCTTTTTTCTGGTCAGTTGAATTAGTTCCAGGAAAACAGTATTTTTGCTTGCTTGGTACTTTTGCACATTTAGGAGAGCATTTTGCTGACTGTGTATGTTTTCCACTAATGTTAAATAGTGACTATCATAGTTTCCTGTGGTGTTGGTCGTTTAGTCTGCCTTTTTATTGTGACCCAACAGTGGTACTTCACCATCCCATTATATATAAATGTAAACAAGCACTCTGATTTCTTCTTTTGTAGAAGTATTGCTGGTGGACCTAAAAAAAAATTAATCATAGTAATTCCTATTTATGGTGCATTTTGTTAACTTTTTAAAATGCTTTTGAAAAAGAAATTTGAGGAACATAATTGGGATAGAGGTGTGTATCTTGGTGGGCATGTTAATTAATCTCATGACACCATTTGTGAGGTGAGACAGTTATGTCATCAGTCATGTGTATGAAATCGCAAGGCACAGAGAGTAAATGTTAAGCCAAATACAGTCCTGTGGTCTTATAAAAAAACCCACGACTCTCCACAGAATTGTGATAGTGTATCTAAGAGGGATTTTTATGGTATGTAAACACCAAGACAGAAATCTCCCCCTCACTTGGGACAAGTGTCCTTTGCATTTCTTGGCAATTTACCATCAAAACCTTTCTTTCAAGTCTCTTTGATTAGCACCTCACTTAAAATATCTCTGTGGGAAGTAGTTTCCCCTCAAGCGTAGCATTTGTGCTCCAAGTTAGTGTCATAGTATACCCATCTTTTGCCAGCTGGTATCTTTCCTGCAGATCTTGAAGTGTTTGATAATGAAGAGATGCAGTTGCCAGGTATTCATTTTACAGTGGCCAAAGACATGTCATAATTTTTGACCAAGAGCCAGTATCTCTTTTACCTCATTTCATATCAAATGCTCTTAAAAGTTGCCATCAGACCAAGATTTGATGGCTTTAAAAAGGCTGTTTCCTGTCCAATTCAACATTGAACCAGTCCCAAATTATGGGATGCCACTTATTATACAAAAATGTACTGAATAGTTGTAAAAAGGATGATAGGAATTAAAAGTCCCCAGTTTGGCCGTAATTTATTTTTTTTCTTTTATTAAGAAATGGGGACTAATCCTAGCTAATACCAATTTGAACAAGTAAATTCTTCCATCACAATGTACTTCTTGCTTTCTGGCAAGGTTCAAGCAAGGCAGGTTTGTAAATCCAATAAACCCATACATTCTTTACACCCTGCAAAGAGCTAGTTAGGTGATTTGTAATGAGATTTTAATAGGCAGATGTTTGGCTCCGCGTAATAGCTGAGTCCACCAAGGAAAACTGGCAAAAAGACCTCACTTGAAATTTGCTCTTCCAATCTTGGGTGCCTCATTGGCCTTTATGGGTGAAGACAAGTAGTTGGTTCTCTCTTCTGTCTTAAAATGAGTCTCAAGAAAACATCCCAACCACAATGCTGTTGACAAAACTGAGGCTAAACACTCTGCAGCCCTCTTGGCGAATTCCTGTCACTGTGCAAAGAGGAATGTGGCACTAAAATGTTTGGAAAGAGAGTAAATGGGAAGCTCTGTGTCTGTGTTAACTTAATGAGAGCGTTTCCCAGCGCTAATGCTAGTTATGGTTGTATCCAATGCCTCTGTAATGCTAAGTCTGTATTTGCCATAGTTTGAATACACATATTCCCTTTTTTGCTGCCAAAATGTTTTTGAAAATATTTTGTTCTCATTGTTTTTTACAATGAACAAGAATTAGGCTTGATACCATTAGCACTTTTACTCAAACTTACTACTTTGCTTACATTAAAAATAGATCAAATCATACTGAATCTTGATTTTTGAGAAGATGCAGCCTGTAGTGTGTTGAAAAAGCACTTTGGGGGCTCTGTTTTTCTCCTGTAAAAACAAAGATTTTCTGACAAAAAATAAGGAGGGAAAAAAAAAATCTAGTCCCAGCAAGCTTTTCTGATATATGCAGATTTTTAATAAGCGTGTATCATGACGGTTCCAAATAATTTAAAGGATTTGTTCCGATTTATATGAGTTGAGGATTGCAAGTTTATTCTTAAAAGAAAAAAGATGAGGAAGAAGGAAAAACAAAGCCCGGAATTGTTCGTTGTTCTTACAGCTGTCAGCAAATTTGTGAGAATGTGTCTGCCAGCAGCGAGCTTTACCTCATTTTCTAAGCTAGCCAACGTTTCTTAAGCTAAAATAAATAAGTTCCTTTTTAAATACCTGCCATGACTTAATTCTTATTGTTCTATACTTGCAAGTGTTCTCTACACTCACCTTATGATCTTCAATCCATTGTCAGTTTTTTGTTTGGGTTTTGTTTTTTATTAAACCTCTTTCTAAGTTTCTGTCTGGGTAGGTGCTTTGAAAAGAGCTCATTGCTTATATGGTATCACATATGTACGTTTTGTAGCCAACGCTCTGTTCATTACTCAAAAGAAGAAAATGAGAATAACTCCCTATGTTATGAGTTGCTTAGTGAGTAAGAAAAGGTAATTATTAGCACTGATGTTTCTTTGTTTTAAATTGCTAATGTGTATGAAATTTCAAGAGTGATGTGTGAGGCAGTTACTTTTTACCTTTCTAACAAAACTATTTGATGTGATTTACTCCATTTTCCTCACAGCAATTGCTGGGAGAGCTGTCAGAGGTAACATAATTACTCTTCTGATATTGCACTTCAAAAATTACTGTTTTGCATTTGTAGTCGCCAAATTCCATAGTGCATGCTTGTTTTGTTTGTAGCAATGAATAGAAGAGATGGAATGAATGTGTGGATGTCCTCAAAAGATCTGGAGTTAAAAAAAGAAGTGTTAAAAAAAGAAATGTTAAATGTGATTTGAATGTATAATTGCCTTTTGGGCACTGTTGAACAAAATGTGAAGTGTATTTCAATGTGGTTTCATCTGTAAATTTAGAATTTGAGTGATAATTCCAGCTTAATTTTTATTTTCACTCCAGCAAGTTGTTTTGATGAGGCTTGTGATTGCAGTACGACTTGTTTTTGAAACTACATCAGTGGCATCCATTGATAGCTATGTGTAGTGTTTAGCTACCAGTTTTTCTGGATTATGATTGTGGTGATGTGCAGTTGATGCCTTGGTTTGTAATGAATCTTCTCTACCATAAGAAAAAGCCCTGTTTTTTCCTTGCATGTTGTTTAAGAAGGTCGGGGCACACATGGGGGTACTTTGTGGGGATAACAGTCTAGCAACATGGAATCTGTGAACAAGATTTTAAAAATATCTGAATATCATTAGAACATTTTAATATCTGTTAAAATTTTTAAATTCATTAACAAGATTTTGGATATACCATAGTACATCTATATATCAAAAATTATGGTATATTTACTGTATACCTAGTAGGGCACTCTCATTTCACCAAAGGACAGGTTTCTTAAATATACATTATTCTGCTTGTTCTCATTTATATTATGCATTTCACTTTTCTTGGCATTTGACATCTAAAAAAGCATTTATTGTCTTAAGATTGAAGTTGTAGAATACAGAAAAATCAATCATATGTTTGGTTTTTTTAATATTCCCACAATGCACTGCACAAAGTGGACACAAAATAATTGAGATTAATACCTTTGAACCACTAAACACTAAGGAAAAAAAAAACAAACAAACATAATGGTTTAATGGGGCATGTATTGTAAGACTATATGTTTGCTTCAGTAGCTGACTACTACAATTTGAGGGAAAATTTTCAAAGGGAAACAAAAGGCATTTTTTCCCAGGCTTAATTGACTCGCCATAGAAGATGATGGGATAAAGTTTCTGCTGGTGTGACTCAGCGTGGCTTAGCTGTAATGGTCCCAATTTACATTCACTACAAAATGCCTTGTCCATCAGTTAGACTTACTGAGTTGGGGATTCCTGTATAAGGGCACTTGCTGACATTTAATGAAAGTTTGATTGTTGTCAGGGCAGTGATCTGCTGCTCAGATTCTGCCATATGGCTCCTGCAAATATTTCCCTACTTGATCTGCCATAAACCTTCTGCCTCCAAGGAAATAGAGAAGAGTATTTCAGGAAGGAGCAATGAATCTGGGGAATGTACTCATCTATTTTCATACCAAAGTAAGCAGACTTCTCATAACTAAGAGATGAGGCATCCCTATTGAGCAAACAAACTTTAATATTAAACTTTCAAGCTGTGTTAGTCCAAAACTGCAGAGAGGGAGCACTGTTAAAACAGTGAGATGTGGAGTTTGAACTGTTTGAAAGAAAAGGGTAGCTTTGGTTGCTTATGAGCTTCTGGGCTTGTCTGTCATTGGGATTGCTTTGGGAAAATAATGCGTCTTCCTGTAATGGGTGCCATTCTAAAGGTAAAGAAGGAGAAAAGAAATTATTCCCCAAAATCATTCTTGAGACACCTGCTAGTTAGTTATTAGCAGCAAGATAATCTGCATGTTGTTAGAACATTGCATAAAGTAGGGGAAAAGAAAAAAACAGCCCTATTCCAAGAATTGTGGAGTTTGAGGTTTGAGTTTTTTAAATTGGTATATTCCATTGAGGCGGCACGTAGTGACCACACAGATAGCTGAAAAGGCACAAATGAAAGGGCGGAGGGAGCAGGAACCTCTTAAATGGTGTCTGCAGTTCAAGAAACACTGTGTTATCCCAACCTCAGTGACGTTTGGAAGTTAGTCAGGCTTAGGTATGGCTGGCTATGTTCATTTTTCACTATATTTTACCTAAAATCTCTAAAATATACATTTTTGCACTGATAAAATCCAACAATTAAAAGATTTTGGAAGCTGTTAAAAAGTGCCAAGTAATAAAAGTTTGGGATTTAAAAACAATTTCATTCACAGAACTCATCTGTTTGAAAAGAAAGACGTGTTTCTGATGAGGCCATTGCTGTGAATTTTGTGTCTGACAGAGAAGGAAATGAATGCCAAATCAAGTTTTGGCAAATTTTGAAACTATATCTGGCTAGTAAGATGCCTTTGTGTAATAAATGAAATCAGTTGGTGCAAAGCATCCCAGCATTTTCTGAAGAAACCTGGGTTTGCCTGATGTCTTGTCCTAGTTTTGTTGTCAAACTCAGTCTCTCCGCATCTTTTCAGAAACAAAGGACGGACTATGTTGCGAAACAACCTGATCCAGTTCCTGCTACTCCTTCACCGCCTCCAACACCCGCTCCTGTCCCCGTGGCTGTCCCCCTCCCTCCTAGCGCACCAGCACCTATCCCGGTTCCCGTGCCCAAAGCACCAGCAACCATCAGCCGCCAAAGCAGCACCTCTAGTGACAGCGGTGGTAGTGTTGCACGAGACACCCAGAAGCAGAAGCAAGTTCCTGTGGATCGTAAGTTTGTCTCAGAAGCAAGCAAAAATGTATTTCTCCCATTCCCGTGTCTTTTGCTGAATCCTTGAATTCCTTAAAACCTTGTGTTTCAGGTAAACATTTATGAAATATTTAGCTTTAACCCAATGTTTAAAACACACATTTTCTATGTATGTGGGTTCTGACCCTCGCTAATCATGATGATAAGTAGGGACAAAACACTTCTGTGCTTGTCCCAGTCCTTAATCCTCTCCTTTTATGACTCTCTGTGATCTTCAGCCCATGCTGGTATTCTGGCTGATGTACATTTTCCACCTGAACTCACTGCTGCATTACAATCTAGATTGCTTTTAAAATTAATTAGGCTTTTTTTACACTTCTGTCCCTGGTCATCCAGTCTGAAACATGTATCCAAGGCTTGCACAAAGACTTATGGGTGTGGCTGATGAATAGGATCCATATTGTAATGGTGGTGTAGGAAACTGTTATAATCAAGTCCCCTTAGCTTGGTCAAAGCAACAGCAGCTGGCAGGCCACTGAGCAAACTTCCATGTCCTTGTCTTAGGAGCATGAGAGAACATACCCCATGGCACTTTAGCTGGAAGGACATGGTAACCTGCATCCAGCAGTGTGTGGCAGTCACGAAAAGTTCTGATTAAGGCCACGTTGTAAATATAAAGCCTAACTGATGCTGAGGGTCCTACTCTGTATCGAAAGTTAGGTGTTAGGAGAACTTATTTAGTCAATAATTTCTGTCCTAAATGTACTTTAAGCAATGTGATTGCTTGGCTTAAAAATAACTGAAACTTGTAGGCAAGCATTTGCTTTAGCTTTTAAAGTAATAGCTGTTAAAATAATGAGCTTTTTGCAGTTCAAGAGTTGGCAGCTTATCCCATCCTCTGCCTCCCTGCCTTATCAGAAAATCCCACTTCCACCCCAGGTAAAAACTGGCACCGAATCCATTTCTTTCTGCAGAAGGGCTTCTTTCCCCTCCTGTCCCCAGTGGATGGGAAGCGTGGGCTTGGATAACCACCCTCAGTGGGTGGAGCCTGCTTTGACCTTGCCTGGTGGTAGGCAAGATCTTGCCTAAGCTCTGAACTCAGGAGGGCTCTGGGACCTTTTTGGTATTTTCACATAACAGACTGGCTGACTGGAAATTATAAATGGAGAATAGCCTGGCAGGAGAAACAGGCTTCACGGCCATTTCCCAAAGAAACACTAGGGCCTGCTTCTGTCTTTGTCCTGTTTTGGGCAGTTTGTTACTTAGATAAAAACAGAAACCCGAGCAGTTATAAAAGACGTGGAAAGTTGAGCGTGAATTTCACACACACATGCACAAAAAATGATCAATTTATTTCCATCTAAGGACTTTGCATGCCATAGGAGTTGCGTTTCCTTGAATCCACTATGGCCTTCTCTATCCATTACAGATGGAAAACGTGAAGACCATCCTGGCTTCAGGTACAGGGCCTGAGGTGTGAAGGGTTGTCGTAGACTTAAGTGGTTACTCCGCTGAGGCTCTGGGCCATGCACGAGAGCTCCTGTGCCCTCTGGGGAGCTGTCGCTCAAGCCCGGTTAATGGGCTTCAGGTACCTCGCAGAATAGCTGTCTCCTCAAAGGTAATGGGCAACCCTGCCCGTACGCCTGCTGCCCAAGTGCCCACCTGAACCCTGCAGAGGATGCGGGACGTAGTCCCTGCTTCACACCAAGGGAATCTTGTTTATTTATGATAAGGCATCTAGCAACAGTAAGAATCTGTTATCTAGCAGCTAAATATTTATCTTTTGATATAGTCATGGTCTAGGTAAAACATAAGCCTTTCAAAATCTGTGTAAATAGAAGGAAGATAGCAGTTTTCTCTCTCTCTCCCTGTTTGGGAAAATAACTGATGCACGCTTCGATAACATTGCCTAAAGGCTTTACTTGTATATCCCATCTCAGACCTTCACATATCACTGAGCACATGTCATTTTAGCTTCTGATTCACACTCTGGGGGAAAAGAACCAACCCAATATGGCCTGAATGCCTCAAATATTTTACTAGAGATATTTTGTCCACTTTCAACCTGGGGCGATTTTGTAAAAGAAAAATGAAAATGCCTAAAACAAGGACTTTTCTTTTTTGTTGGGGTGATTAAAAAAAATAATCCTAAAAGCCTGTGTAAATCTTGCTTTTCTTTGTCTAACTGGCTAGAGATGTTGATCCTTGGAGAGGTTTGGGGAGAATATAAAACGAAAGTAGAGAAAGAAACATTTTTGCTATCTTATGCTTTCTTCCTATTGAAGTTGTGTTGTTTTCCTCTGTTGCTATCAGTGTAATGGGAGAAAAGGAATAGCTTTTGCCATCTGAGTGCATCAGAGGAAGGTGCTGTAGTTACTCTTTGTTTATCAAAGTGAGAAGGTTGAATAAAGATGGCTAAAATTATAATGATAAGGAAATCCTGAGAATTTTTGAGATCATTTAAAGTTGTGTGTCAAAGGATTTTTATGGTTATTCCAGAGTTACTCCATGGACAGTTTAACTGTGCTAAATCAGTATCTTCTCTGTGCCCACCCTTTTGGGTTCTACCTATTTTTGTGAAATTATCCATAGAACTTTTTTAATGCATTTTAAACAATTTTCAGTATAATTATAATTGATTTTGTTGAAATGCACGAAAAGCATTTCAGTTTGTTGCCTGCTAATGACCAGCAACTGAACTAAATGCTTCAGACAAATGGGTTCTGTGGGGTAGCAAATTGGTACAGTTTTGTTTAAAAAAAAAAAAAAAAAAGTCAGTCTTGTCAGTCTTGCCCAATTCCTGTGTCTCTGGTGAGAACAATTACTTTTTTTTTTTCCTCCTTCTTCTTTTAAGGCAAAGTGTGTCATTGTTTCAGCTAACCAGTCACTGCAGGCTTGGAGTCAATTCAAATTTCCTAAAAAACCTTCACTGTAATAGCTTATTGGATGTAAGGTGATCTGCATGATCAGCAGAAGTGAAATTTTTTTGCCTACCTTGATTTGCACTAAGTTGAGCTTTCAATGAAAAAATGTTTGTGGAAAGTGCTGCCTTTCCACTGTGTAAGCAATCTTACATCCTTCGTCATCTTTTCTGTTTTCATTTTTAAAACATCTTACTTCTATTTGAAGAAACGCAGACTATGACAATTGAATAACTCTCCAGGCCCATTTTCTTCACAGCTCGGGTGCTGTCAGACTGATCTACGCTTCTGTGCAACATCAAGCTCATCTCCTCTTTCTAGGGTCTTAGTTGAATTTTGGTGGTTTGGGTTTGGTTTTTTTGTTTGTTTGTTTTGTTTTGTTTTGTTTTGCAAAAAGAGGAGTGGGAATATTGAAATCTTCCCTGGAGAAAAAGGAGAATAATAATTCAGTCAGATCTAGTGAATGAATCTGTAAAGAAAAAAAAACCCAAAAGATTTAAAGTGCAGTATAAGAAGTGACCTGACTTTGATAAAGCAACCTTGAGAATAACTCCTGCTCCTGTGGGACATCTCTCTCTCTAGGCAGGAAATCGCAGATGGAGGAGGTGCAGGATGAACTTGTTCACCGACTCACCATTGGCCGGAGCGCTGCCCAGAGGAAGTTCCACGTGCCACGACCAAACATCCCGGTAGTCAACATCACTTACGACTCTTCACCTGAGGATGTGAAAGCGTGGTTGCAGTCCAAAGGATTCAATCCTGTGTAAGTTTGAGGGCGAATGTAAGAAAACTTCTTAAAATTAGTTTCCTATCAGTAATAAGGATGTGGTCTGCCCACTATTTAAAATCAAGCAGCCTTCTGAAAATCAAGACACGTCGGCTGCACCCTTGGAAAAAAGAATTTGTTTTTAAATATATATATATATTTACGTATATATGTGTGTAGATAATATATATCCACATATATCAATGTGATTATAGAGTTATAGATATATTTAGGGGAAAAAAAATACATATATTAGCCTCCACCAAAAGGTACTTGTTATAACACATACTGAATTGACTTCAAGAGTTCTGTTGCATTGAGTTTTGTCTTGATTTAGTAGCCCTGAGGCAATGTGGGCTGAAGCCAACCTCTTTCTCTCCTTTGGCTAGTGTATTTTTGCTTATTGTTTGTTCTCTTGGTGTAACCCCAGGACTGTCAACAGCCTTGGCGTGCTGACGGGTGCTCAGCTTTTCTCCCTCAATAAAGAGGAACTGAAGACTGTTTGTCCAGAAGGGTCTAGAGTCTACATCCAAATTACGGTACAGAAATCTGCCTTGGAGGTGTGTATAACTCTTCTTACTCGCCTAATGCTGGGTCTTTGCTTTTGAACCTATAGAAATAAATAACTCTTTCTGCGCGACAGCTGGCTTTTTCTCAGGTCCCATCATGTTGATAAGCATTATTTGTTCCTGAGTTATTTGTTATTAATCCATTGAAATGGCATCTGCCAAAACACCAGGTGGGATATCCCCCTGCTTCTAAAGGGGTCCACAAAGTGTTAGGAAACAGTCCATGGTAGTAATCAAGTTTAAGACTGTAATCAAGCTGCAAGAAGACAAAATGAACTGAACAGGGCTTTGGGGAAAACAATAGGAGTGAGTAAAATGCCGTTTTTATTGCCTCTTGCTTTTCCTGGTACTTGGACAAATAGATACTCCTGGCACTTTTGGTGGTGGTGAATTACTTTTGCTTTATCTTTGTAGAGGAGATTTGATTTATTAGGTTTGAGAAAGTGGTAGAGTGAGCTCACTGTTGAATCTTGAAGCCTTTCAGGTCAACCACTGGGGCACCTGTATTGTTGGGTTCCTAAGTGGGGGAAAACACATTTGACGCTGTGCTAGCAGAATTACTGAGCTAAGGATAAAAGTATTGTATCTCTCTATTCGTTGCTCTGTTGCAGTTTGCCTTAATTACAGTAGTATTGTTCCTTAAACACCTTAAAAGCTTGTATACAGAATTGTGCTAGGGAGAATGCTTACCAATTTTAAATGAGGAAAATTGCAGGTGCATCTACTTATTTTTTAAAAACTTGCTGTGGCAAGTAGTGGACTCGATACTGTCTGGAGGTGAGACTAGCCCACATGAAGAGCTATATTCTTTACATCCTGTTTAAAAGAAAATCTTGAAGAAGTTTAAAATGTGTTTCTATCCCCTCATCAAGCTGGGGCTGTCTTGCCCAAATGATTTTAAACTTTTAACTACCAGGCATATTTTTAAAGACAAGTTTATGATGATGCATGTTTTACAGTTTAGCTGATCACTGTGGATCAGAGAGTGTTGCTTTCTAATGCTGTTAAACTTTTTTTAATCCCCTTCTTGAAGCTCTGTATTCCTGTGAAAGGAAGGGAGAAATATTTCACTTTTATTCTTAGGAATATATGTCACTACAGTCCAGTGCAATCCATCATTTCCTAGTGAAGATGTATGTGTATTCTTCAACTTTTCTGGAATGTCAACAATCTTATTTCAGTTTCATAAATAAGGCTTCTGTGGACAGAGATGGAAGTGCCTTTGTGGTGGAAGTTGGTTTGAAAAGCAGAGATGCACTGGATGGTACAAGTCTGTCCTTTTTTCCTCCGTGCTGTTATTCTGCTTGCCTCAGTTCAGTCTAGCTCTGTAGGAAACCGGACAGTTAAATCTTGTCTAATAAATGCTCTACAAGTGTTAATAAACAGGTACTGAGAGTTTAACAAGCTCATTGGATTTTATTAGTGAAAAGGTAATTGAAATATTTATTTCTGCCTAAGTTATTTGAGTTTTAAATGATGGATTTCAGAATGCATGCAATCCCTGATTGTTTTAGCCTGTTATTTGCTGAATTACCCAAAACATTAAGATGCATCTTCCTTTCTATCCCTATAATATTTCAAGTTGCAGGGTTTAGGAAGGCTGCCCTTGTTTAAGAGAAGCTATAGGAACGAGTATCACAGCCAAATGTCTACATATGACCTAGCAAAGATGAGCTTGTGTGTTCTAAACAGGGCTATGTTCTAACTGCTCAAACTAGGAACACTTCTAATAGCAGAAGCATTTAAGCACACACGTACTTTTACCAGCATCAGGCCTGTTTTACAATCGAATGTTTTTTATAAGCATTTACTGAGTTATGAGTTTGACCACCATAATTGTCCTACATGATTAATCAGTGTCAAATTTTTGTTCAGTTCTCTGGCCTCCCTTATGTAGTACTTGTGGTGTTGTGCTGCAGGATATGACCTCGGTGTTAAGTACAATTAGCAATAATAGCCAGAGACAGAGCAAACCTGCAAGCTCTCTAGCATTACAGAGCTCCATGCCTCGTCTTTGTTAGTTCTACTTGGGGTCTTCCACAAGTGCTTCTGGATTCTTACCATTTCTACAGGCCAGTGACAGCCCTACCTCTCAGATTTGGGGCTGCATTCCCAAACGCGGACAACCAGATCTTCACCTTTATGCAGCTGCAAGGTTCTTTTTAGTGTTGTTCTACCTCAGGCAGAAGAATTCAGTATTTTGTAATTGGAATTCCAGTTCCGTCATGTTGTTATTGATGTTATCAGGAAGGTAAACTGTTTCAGCCTCAGCTGCTGAGTTATTTTCAGAAAAATATTTCTCTGTGACCTCTGATAAAGCACTTTGTCGGGTATCTGCTGATGTTTTTTATGCATGACTTCAGTAATGGGTGACTGCTGCACTTGCTCTGTATCTGAAACCAAGTAGGAAAGGACAAGATGAATTAAGACAAATAAAACTGCTCTCTTACCTTCGGAGAGTCATTTATAAGCCCCCTGCTTTGCCCTTCCACTCTGGGAGAAAAGAGCAATGGTAGTTTACCTAGGAGAAGCATCTGAGCCTCCCTCCCTGTGGAGACCTAACCTGTCTGTCAGGTAATGGCATCAGATATATGCATTGTAATGCATAAAATTGCATAAATCTAAATTAAATTTTATTTCGTGGGATAAATTTTCACAGTTCAGAATCCATTGAAGGATTTTCCCCTTAACAGTCCTGAAGTTTGTTTTACAAATTTCAAAACCAGTTTCTGCTTCTTTATTCAGAGGCTATTTTGGAAGATGGTTTTGAAGCTTGGAAGGTCATGTCATAGCCAAATAACACAATAGAGGATATGGCTCTTGCTTTATAATCCTCTAGTTTTATTCAAAGTCATGCACGCTTTGGAAAGTTCCGCTCTGGTGGATACGTATCCTGGCCTTGCTAATAACTTCGTTTACGTTGTTGAAGTAATTTCTTTGCAGCTAGCTCAGCAGACCTGTTTTTCACCCTGAAAGGTGAAATGAGGCCTTGTCCTCGCAATGCTCCACTGTTGCTAATATAGTAATATGATTCAATTCTTACTACTGTAAGTTTCAAACCTGTGTCTCTGACCAGCCAAATGCATGATGGTGTATTGTGTAATGCAGGATACTAAGATGAGGTATCTCAATCCGTATTTAGGCCTTGGCTGTGCAAACCCATGTGTGTACATGAATTTTGTGGTTACATAAATCTAAACCCACCAAGGGTTTATGTGCTTTCATTTCTAAATATGATTGCCATGATATTTAAGTACTCAAGGGTGGAATCCTAACAAACTTGCTGGGCTTTAACCCCACTTTTACTCAGGCCATATTTCACCTCATAAATATCCAACAGTTCCAGGGGCTTGCGTGAGAAATAAAGATGCTCAGCAGTGCTAAAAGTCAAGCTGACACTTTTAATAGTCTACAGGTTCTTTTCTGGTCCACTTTTAAGGATAGTGTAAATCCTTTCCTATTCCAAATGTTATTTAACCGGATTCTTAGTGCAAGGTGAGTTTAAGTTGTTCAAACATCTCTCTTAATAAAATGCTGGCAGAAGATCTTCAGCATGTGTCAAAACCACAAGTAAACTCTTTTTCTTTTTTATTTGTTTATAGGCTAACAGTGGTAGTTCAGAACTGCAAGAAATTATGAGAAGACGACAAGAAAAAATCAGTGCAGCTGCCACAGATTCAGGTGTGGAGTCCTTTGATGAAGGAAGCAGCCACTAAAACGTCTCTTCTCTTTTCTTTAATTCCATTGTCCATAGCATTATACCTTCCAGCTTTGCTTTAGGAAGCAGTGCAGGGGAACGTCTTATAATATTGTAAATGTAACTAGCCACCATAAAGAAAATTTGCAGTAGTCTCCACAGAAGTACCTGCTGCAATGGAGGTTCTTGACAGGTGAAAATATTGACACGTGATTCATTTATACCCAAAGATGAGTCTTGGCTTTATGGAATTAACCATTCTATGACAGATAAACTGGAACACGTCTTTGTGATTCATCCGAGGCAAGCTGAGCCAGCAATAAAAAAAAACATTTGAACCCTTCAGTAATAATAAGATTCTGAACCCCATCTCTTGCTGTAGTTTGCAAGTCCGTCTTTTTGGCTCAGTCTTTCTTGTCATGCATTCGGCTGTGGGATGTTTAGTGAAGTCGTTAATGCCAGCAATCAGAGAGAAAATGTTTAGAGAATTAACAGCAGCCCAACATAGACTGAATCTTTCTTGCATCACTCCCAAGATGTTTTATTACTAATGATGCTGTTTATAGCAAAATAATACTCTGTACATCGATTTTATCAGTACTTCGCTCGTGATGAACTATAATATGGCACAAGAAGGAATAACTAGAAAATAGTAACACAGCTCAAAGACTTGACCAGATCTGCTGTAGGTAGCCATGAAATAATTTGCCGTACTTTTTTTTTTTTAAATATACTTGCATTTTTTTGTTTGTAACTTAACCCATCGAAAGAACAGTGTATAATCTAGACTTTTTTGCGTGTTGATCCCAGATGTCAGTTTTTCCTTATGTAAAAAGCCGTTCTTCCTTTATCAATGTAATCTTTTGGAAAAGTGGATTCCTGGAGGCAAAAGGGGGAGAAAAGAAAACATCCCTTCCAGCAGGTATTATTTTTGAAGAGGCAATGATTTTTGTCACACAAAATGTTCTCTTATTTCACATGGTCATTTGATTTTATATATAATATATGTATTATATATAATATATAATATCACTTAATTTAGACAAATTTAATCGTCTAGTTTGATTAAGTTTCATAGTGCCTTTTTCACATGAATCAGCTTAAAGTCTGCAATAAACAGTATTTCATGTCTGTTAAACAGTTGTATCTTTGTGGCTGCAAAGATGGTATTGAAATAAGAAAGCATTCTTGATTTTTGCCATTAGTTTGCTCTTCCTCTGTGTACAAGGGAAAAAAAGAATCCTATTCATTTTTCATAAAAGAAAAATTAAAAATCTAAATAAAGGTGTTTAGTGCCATTTATTGTAAATGTCCTTACAAATGCTTCTTCTGTGTGTTCATTATGTGTCTATGTATATTTTTACATTTAGTATATATTCTTTATGCCTGTGAGAAGTACGTAGGTTCTACACCTGTCATTTAAATGTAGTCTTATCCAGAAATGGCTTGAGAAGGGACGAATCCCAAACTGAAGACTCCAACTGCCAGAGCAGTTAGTAAGAAATGGATTCTTGTCTTACCCAGTGAAAGAAATTATGATTCTCGATTGCTTTCTCCTTTTAGGAAACACTTGAACCAGCACACCTGCATGACAACTGCATCCATTCAACCCATATACATAGCTTTATGGGGGGAAGTTGTCTGTTTCACTGCTCCTCTCATTAAAGGTCAAGCCCAGTCCTCCAAAGGCTTGATGTGTTCTCCGATTCACATTTATGATTTCCTCTTCCCCAGTCTCTCTAGTAAGCATCCATACCTAGCCTGAATAGTGTTCACTGTACAGCGACGTCCCCTACACTGGGTGGTGGATGACAAAGAACATAAAGTAAGATCTGAAGCTACTCTTACATAGATTCTTCGTTACTTGTAAGTACAAGAGTAGGAAACTTTTGAAAAGGACTTTGAAACTCATGTTTAAAAATTAGAGTGTCTGTATTTTCTCATGGAAAGTATCTCTGATTTCATAAAAGGCATTTTGGTGGTTACCTGCACCTTTGTTCCCCAGTTAATTACCAAAATATGAAGCCAATATTCATATTCTCTGCAAGCTTATTCTAGCAGTCAGCAGACAGTTTGCTTTTGCCCAAAAGGAGGGAGGCATCAGCTCTGAGACCCTTCAGACTTTGTGGAGTTTGGCATACGCAGGTCTTGGAGGAAGCACCCGTGTTTCGTCTCTGAGAGAAAAGAGGTGGCTTCACAACTGGGTTTTTGAAGCTGTGTTTCTGTGTAGCTGTTAAACTGTCTAGAAAGAGCCAGAGAAGTCTGAATGTGGTCAGTGTGCTCAGAGGCATCTTTGGAGATACTTGGGGAGGAAAACAGGAAACCCCTTCCGTGTACTTAAGTGATAAGCAGAATAATATGGGGATTTGGGGGTTGGTTGGTTTCTTTGTTTCTGTGTTTTCTTCATAGTTTTAAAATTAACTATTAATGATTTAACAACCCAGTACAACACGTGTTGTATTTTACTCTTTAACTTTGCTGAACTAGAGTTTATGATTTCTGAGTTACAGTCTGTGAAATCTGAGTGGCATTAAGGCAGATATTTCCCTTTTTGCTGGAATTTCCTTGATGGTTTAAGGCGCTGCAGGGAGCTTCACCCCTCTGCTGTGTAGTTTTTGAATTTTCAGCTTGTTGACAGTTGTGAGAAATCAAAAGGACATCTCATTTGGAGTTTGTCAAATGAAAAGAAAATGTTTTCTTCAAAATTTTCAATGATGTCTTAAATGAAAACAGTGGTACGTTCCAAATGTTTTCTTTAGGATTTGAGCAGTGAGGATTTTGGTTTTTACACTAATATTTTAGAAAGATGTGATACGTGAAAAGTGTCTTTGAAAAGGAAATGAAACAGTTTTTTAAATGTCAAAAAGTGCCTTTTAGATGTGGAAAAAAGAGTTGTGTTTGATAACACGGGAGCTACTTTACTATTTTTCTGCCATCAAGTCTGCCTTTTTAACTGGGTGGAGGGAGAGAGTTTTAGCAGAGTATGTTTACTCAGCAGTTTTATGCTTTCTAAGCACATACCTTTTAACATCAGGGAGGCACTTCTTCCCACACCTTTAGTCTCCCCTTGGGATGCCATGGGGAGAGAAAACCACTGTGAAAACTCACATTTAATTCGTAAAGAACACTTCTAACCAATATTGAAGCATGGAACAGTTTCCTTACCTTCCTACCTAATTCAAATGTTAAACAGGGCTTCGCTCAGACAAATTGTGATCTATAAATGAGATTTTTTTTTATATGTACTTTTATTGCTCCAAAGCATTGTGCTATATAAAAGTTGGTGGGTTTGGGGGGTGGGGGGGAGGCTGGGAAATAAGTGCAGACTTCTACTTTATTGATGTGTGCAGAAATCAATGGTTTATGGGGAAGTAGGTATCCAAAATGAGACAATATTCTGAAATGTGCAGAGCTCCTAGTGATTTTGAGTGTATTTATCAGTGTTTGGGAAACTCTGAAAGTGTCCCTGGAAGTGCTTTGCTGGACAGCAACGTCACTACTTTGCTAATTTAACCAAGGGAAAAATCGGAAACCCATGAATAACTAGTATGATGTGGATTAACTCTTTCTAACTAGGAAACCCATAACTAGCAGATTTTCAATTATGAGAACTGAAGGCATTTTGAGCTTTCAGGTTTTTAGGACATATACAGAAGCAAGATATCGCCTGAATACCAGACCCTTGTTCAAGCAGGTATCTCCACTGATTTTCCTGGGCTGCATCTCATGAATAAGGGAAAGATTAAGATGCGCCATCGGTTGTTGAGCCTGGAGAAGAGAAGGCTCTGGGGAGACTTTCTTGCCACCTTCCAGTACCTAAAGGGGGCCTACAGGAAAGATGGGGAAGGACTTTTTACAAGGGCATGTAGTGATAGGACGAGGGGGAAAGGCTCTAAACTGGAAGAAGGTAGATTTAGATTAGATATTAGGAAGAAATTTTTCACTTTGAGGGTGGTGAGACACTGGAACAGGTTGCTCAGGGAAGCTGTGGATGCCCCATCGCTGGAGGGGTTCAAGGCCAGGCTGGATGGGGCTTTGAGCAACCGGGTCTAGTGGGAGGTGTCCCTGCCCATGGCAGGGGGGGTGGAACTAGATGATCTTTAAGGGGCTTTCCAACCTAAACCATTCTATGATCATCATCATTGAACGATTCTATGAAGTGTGATGTACTGGGAGTATTTGAGAGACTATTTCTGCACTTGGCTTCCCACCGTCACATACAAGCATTACTACGTTCAGCATCCAGACCAAAACCAGTATCAAGATATTAGTCTGTGTTTCTACTTCTTGAAAATATTTGTAGATTAGAAGAGATAAAAGAAAATGGGGAGACTTCCTAGATGCTTCCTAGCCACTGCTGCTGACTGTGACAGCAGCAGTAAAGCTTAACCCCCCCCCGCCTTGCTCCCATCCATTTCAGCAGCACTAACAACATTGATCTCTCACAAGAAATGGCTGAAAGCAACAGCTTTGCCTGCCTGAATGAAACTACTGTTTTTGTACACACCCTTTAAAAAGTTAGAAGTGGGAGGGAGGGGGCTGTGACTCTGTGGTTAGTGAACTGAACAAGGAGGGAGGGAAGGGCCGTTTTTTGTTGCATGAGATTATGATGTTGAATATTTGCGAAGTGGCAACTTTGTCTTCTTTAGGTGCAGGGGAAAAAGCCTTGTAAAATGAAGTAAAGCACAAGTACGGTTTCCCAACCCGTTCTTAATCCTTGTGTGAGGATGGAAGGAAACATTTCTGAAGACCCAAGTATGTCAGGGCTCACTGCACTGGGCATGCTAAGAGAGAAAGCACTTTCACACATGGCTCTAACAACTTCTTAGCTCTTCAAAGACATGTCCTTAGGTTTACTTGTTTGTTCCTCCCAGGGCAGCATGTACAGCATGAGGCAACAAGGAGCAAATCTGCCCTACTTTTGATTAATGGTCACTCATTGTGCAGAGCTGCTTTTACATGCATCTGGGTCAGTAGATGCTGTAAGCGCAGCAAATCAGTGGAGAGCATCTATGGTGGCAGCAGAGCTATAGGCGTGAAACCCATAATTAAAAAAAACCCTATTACCTATCTTGAAGCTTCAGACAGTTTTACAGCTGTGATGACTTAAAGAGTTTTATTTTGCCAGATGCTGGAAACCATATCAACATGCAGCATGAGTCCAAAAGAGTGGGG